GCTTTTGGGTCTCCTTTTTTGTCATAAAAAATGTTTTCGACCCCTATAATTGGCCGGCCCCTAGAGTGAAAACGAAAATCCTGGAACCAGTGATTGCACATATAACACAGGCCCGTAGGAAGCAATTTCACTTTGAGGGGGCACAACCATACATTTTCAGTTGGGGGGGGGGGGCACTATCAACTACCAAAATTCCTTGACAAGCAAAAAAAAAAAAAAAAAAAAAAAAGGTCATCAGACGTTATTATTGAGGGGGCACAAACATACAGTGGCCATATTTTCTATAGTATACTATATATCGGCAAAATTATTGGGGGGGGCACGCCCCCCCGTCCCCCCCCCCCCCCCCGGTTCCTACGGCCTTGTTAACATACACTGTAGTTATGACATATAGGACATAAGTTGTTAGTCAAAAACATGGTTTGCCTACTCAGAGAAATGTCTCTAGTTTACTTCATAAAATTCAAGTTGTCATGAAATTCAAATTGCTTTAACCCCCCCCCCCCCCTGACTTCGCCAATCATAAACCAAAAGATGAAATGTTAATTGCGCACAATATAAGAGAAAATATAAGAGAAATTCTTGGAACAGTTTTTTTAAAGTTGTTTTTGACCCCCCGAATACACCGAAAGGGAGAGAGCCACGTACAGTCTGCGTTCAGGCCACCACCATTTGAAGATAAAATGGCTACTGTTTACATGGTTTAAAATGTAAGTAGATTTTGAGAAAGAAGATAGTATGACAGAGGACCAGAATAACAACAATTTACCCAAACTTTCTTTAGGAAAAAAAAGTGGTGAAAGTGATCGAAGAGCTCTGTATTCGGATTCTCCGTTTTTGTTAGTCCGAAATATCTGACGTTTTCCAGGCTTTTTTCACGATTTTGATATTTTACGTGCCAGGAAAACGTCAGAACCGGCACCATTACAAAAACTGGAAATTCGCCGCCTCCAACTGGAGGCGGCATTCTCGGGTTGATTTTCAATACTTGCGAACCGAATTAAATGCTGAATTCACAACTGCAATGCCTTTAGTACTCACCAGCATCGTTTATATGGGTTTGTTATGAAATATACAATTTAGTGAAAACATTTTATCAGACGGACGAGTTTTCTTTACATTTCGTCCATTTTAAAATCTTGCAAGACCAAATCGAAATGTAGAGTGATCTTTTCTTTTCATCGATATTGGTGAGTACTAGAAGCATTGTGCTACTGATGAATTGTAAGTTCGGCATTTAATTCAGTTCGGAAGTATCGAAAATCAGCTCCGGTCGGAGACAGTGAAATTTCAAGTTTTCGTAATGGCGCCAGTTCTGACGTTTTCCTGGCATGTAAAATATCAAAATCGTTAAAAAAGCCTGGAAAACGTCAGATATTTCGGACTACGTTTTTGTTTGTATTTTAGATTTTTGGCGTCCGGAATTTTGCGCGGGAAAGTTTAATATATTGACACAGGCGATAGCTGCTAAAAGCTTTTAGGTATTTTTACAATGTTTACTGAATTTATTAACTATGTTGATATCTCTGTAGGAAATGTATGGTGGCATATTTCTGCCCCCTACCTGCAAGAGAAATTATGTTAACATGCAAGAAAAGTACAGTATGTCAACATGCAAGATAATTATGTCAACATGCATGATACATGTAATAATTATGTTGATATATACAAGTTATGAATCTTTTAGAGAATCTAATTTTAAGTGAAAACGGTACCTGGTGAAAACGGCACTTGAGAATAGTCAAAACGGCACTTATTGCAAACTGCATAGCTTTATCAGGGACCTATATACCGGTAAACTTCGTTATCTCGACATCGACGGGACCATCGGAAAATGTCGAGATATCCGAGGTGTCGAGATATCAGAGTTGAGACTTGACGTCCAAGATTTCATTGCATAGCAAAACAGACAAGCTTATTATATGTACATGACTTTAATATAGACTGTAGCTCAACATATTTCAGAATTCCCTCTATTTTTATAAAAAATCTAAGAAGTTATTTTAAAAATCTTGTTTATAAAACGTGTTCTTTATCGAAATCTTTCTAAATTCACAAAGTTTCAGCACAAAGTTACAGCATTGACCTGCTTTCGCGTGTAACTTGCCTTTTCGTCAGAACAGGATACGAAATGCGCTCTATAAACTTCGAACCGTATAAAGTCGACATCCGATATACGGTAAAAAAAATAAATGCGGAGTATTTTTTTCTTATTTTATTCATGAAGAATGTACAATAAAATTAATTTTTTTTTTAAGAGATTTGTGTATCTAAACTAACGTAGTGATGTTACAGATGCACGAATTACGACTGATTCGGTCAATCGTGTCGTTAATTGGATTGTTTCCTGTTGAATACATTTTAACTACAAAATATCATTAAAACATTTTTTTTTAATTCCGTAGTTTGAAATTTTCAGTGTGTTTGTTATTCATTGTAATTTAGTTATCTTTTTCAAATTTAAAAGTTATGTTACGTTTCGATATAAATAACATTCTGTACATTTACGCAGAATCGTGTAGATTTAGCAATGATATTACCCAAGCTCAATTAACTTCTCAAAGACGCCGAAGGGGCTTGGGGTTCACCTACAAAACACAGTATATAAAATTAATTAAGCAGCGTGCAGTCAAAACATGGGTGTGAAAGGTGTGAAACTTTGACGACGTCGAAATACCCGGAGTCGTCCGTGCGTGACGAACGACCCTAGCTGACAAACAGTTAGGTTCAGTAGAGCAGAAAATTGCCGATGTCGACATATGCTAGGTAAATTTTGCTCTTGGGACTGTGAATATACGTCGAGATAACCCGGGTTGTCGACATTACCGAGGTCGACATATCAGAGTTTTTGCAAATCATTTATATAGTAAATACTGCCGGGACCGCGGAAGGATGTCGACATATCCCAGGTTGTCGACATATCCGATGTCGAGATACCGAAGTTTACCTGTACTTAGTATACATGTATAGGTCCCTGGCTTTATAGCTTTATTTACCTACCAAAATGAATTAAAGTTATTTCTTAAATTAGCATTTTCCTCGGCATGTGCAGAAAAACGCACTGTGAAAATTTTCAAATTTAAACTCATCTGGAAAACAATTCATGAAAAAATCACTCTTGAAAATGTGTCTTTTTAATAAAGTTCTAGAAGTTTTGGGGCTATATACAACAGTTGAGTTGTGACTAAACAGTTACTTCTTGAATGAAATAACAAAGAAAACCAGTTCTGGCTAACATGATAATTGATTGGTAATTATTCAGCACAATGTGAAGTAGTCATACTTATCCATGCCTCACACAAAGTGGTGTACAGTTACTCAAACAATGAAAATACATTTTTTGCTTAAAAGTATTCAAACACAGCAATGTTTAATCTATCTCTGCTTTGGATGGCTTTTTTTTAAAAATCCCTAATATAAATAAATTACATTAGTACATGTAATCATATACTTGCGATTTTTTGGTCTTTTTTAGATAAAAAGCAAAATTGTGAAAAGTTGCACTGAAATAGCTAAATAAAGCTACCTAAGGTAGCTAAATAAAGCTAAGGTGAGGGAATTCTAGCTACATTGCTAAGTGTACTGATTGTACCTGTGTACTGGACCTGTATACAAAAAAAAAGACATAGATCTATCATGTCTATATCGTGGAAATGGTCCATCCACTATGTTAGCAGCGGGCAACTAGCTGCAACAGATCAAGTGCGGACAGCATGATCCAACATCTAGAATGGCAGACACTTGAACAGCGAAGGGAAATTGCCAGACTTGTGCTATTATACAAAATTGTTAATGCAGGGTTTGAAATTCACTAAATACAACTCGCAAAACGAGAGTTAGAATTCCCAAATTGCGAGTTAAAAATTAGGTAACTCGCAAAAACTTGCGAGTTGATTTTTTTTTTTTTTTTGCATTGAAACTGTAACAAAATTATATAATATGACAGAACACAATACTTTTGATTTAAATGATAAAATCAGTGATTTAAATAAAAGTCACACTGTAGTTGTATTTTGTGTATTGTACAGTGGTTACATGTATTTAATTTATAAATTTAACTTTATGTGAAAATTGCGAGTAGTCTTATAAAATTGCGAGTTCACTTTGTTGGTACTCGCAATTATTTGCGAGTTGTAATTTTAGGGAGTTTCTAACCCTGTAATGATCAAGTTGCCATCAACAAGTGTGATCAACTGACACCACCATTATGTCGAACACAACATTCTCACCAACAGGCCTACTGAATACCATTATGTAAGAGTCAGACTATCACAATTAAGTACTCATACTTCCCTTGTACCATCAAGGAGTGGAATAACTTACCTCTAGGAATTGTGTCGGCCCACAAACCTGATACCTTCAAGTCTCAGGTGTCCACCCACTTATTCAAAAGATGAACTGCTATTTCAATCTTTTAATTTTTAATATTTTGTGTATCATGCACATCACCACCTGCCAAAATAATTAGATAACTGGGCAGAACCAGAATTTCCAAAACAGGCAAAAGATGTAAATCCAGTGACAGGACCTGTACGTTATTACAGTGTACCTATAGTCTCTGCTGAGATTCGGCATGGCTGGATATTTTGACTGGCCTTCACTGAATCTTGGACAGTCCAGGGATCTCACCAGAGATTATGATTATGTCTAATCAGTACATCAACAAAATGCATGTTTTTGTTGGCTCAGACCCTTTCAATGAATATATGTTTTTTCCCCCCTAAAGTGAGGGTGTGAATTTGACCTAATTTCATGACCTTGGATATGTTGACACAGTGACCTACTTTTTGAATATTGCAGTTATTCACACCATTCAGAGCCCTTGTACCAGAAATGGTAAAACCAATCAATGTTTCAATGCATCCATGACAATATTTCGAGCTCAATAGGAACACAATGGGAATTTGAATATGCTTTGATTTATAATGTAAAGATAAATCATAATGAATTTAGATTTTAGAAATAAGGATTATAAATCATTGATCATTTGTATTTTACTTTTAGTGCCAATGTCTGTAAAAAAGAATGGTATGAAGAAGAGAAGTACCACAGATCCTGCAGCTTCTGGAAGTGGGGGAGGTGCACGACGTACAGGTAAGGCTTCCTCTAGGGCAAAACAGCTGTTAATTATCATACAGTTATAGAGACAAAGTTAAAGGATATCATCAGTAAATCATGTAGCAACCTATATGATTTGTATAACTTAATACAGTCAAAGCTCGTTATCTCGAACTCAAAGGGACCGAGAAAATTCTTTGAAATAACCAAGGATTTGAGATATTCAGGGTAAAATATTTAAGGAATAAGCAGTTGGGACTTCAAAATCACTCTGACACATCCATGGTATTCGATACTGAAGTTCAACAATTAATTATTTTCTTATTTTTCAGGAAAAAGAAAAATGTGGAATATTTTTGTTGCTCTGGTTATTCGTCGTATTATGACAATCTGAGAGCATGTAAATATGGTAGGTCAAAATATATAAAAGCAATCTTAACAACTTCATTATCACCTGGAAATTGGCAGTTACTTTCTCAGATAATATGTCTCATTATTAAACATTTGAATTGACTTTAAAACAGATCTATTTGAACATTTCAATTTTAAACTTTTTTTTACCAACTGAATGGACAGATTTCTAAACATCTATTAATTTCTAGACTATTTCACTTTCCAGCAATTTGCGATAATAAATTAACTCCTACTGGTGCCTGCAACATACGCTATTCCAGTGATAGAATTATCAAGAGAGGGGGAGTTGTGGTCACTCAGAGTGGAGGGACATGCTCCTCCCCGGAAACGTGTACAAATTGTAATGATGGGTTCTACTCCACAGGTCCAAAGTGTGAAAGTAAGACTTGTCAATTCTCCATAATACTTCAGTCAGTTGCTTCATTTTGTTTTCAGTTTTTTATGATGTTAAACTTTTTGCATTCACTGTGTGATTTAAAAGTTTCTCAATTTTCTAAAGTAAGATTTGAGGGATACATTTGTTTGTAATTTTATGATTGTTCAAGTTGGTCAGTTGTGATGATTTTATTTTCATAGTTTGTCCACAAATTGCGAATTGCAACCACCGTAGATGTACGAGTGCAAGTGACAACATTTGCGAGTATTGTGATGGAGACATAGTCTCTAAACAATATTGGAGGGCTTATACATCGGCTCCTAGTAACAAAAAACAGTGTCAAAGTAAGTTTGTGACTGAAAAATGGATAGTTTTGTAAATTCAAAATATATTAAATATTGCACCATCAAAGTAATAAAGAACTGATATTAGAGCACATAAAATTGAAATTATGGTTCTCATTCCTGCATGCATCCATTTTGAGATAGCTGCATTGCAAATTTATCAATGAGAAAATAAAAAGTTGGTAATGTGGAGACCAATCCGGAAAAAAATTCCACCATATTTTCTCATAGTTTTGTACTCAAATATTGCTTCTGGTAGCCATTTTTAGACTTGGTCACTTCGTTTAAAAAAAAATTCAAAGATAATGCCTACAATGTTCACACATTGATAATTAGTGGATATTATGCAAACCTATTGATCAGACATTAAAAGCACTACAATTTACAAGACACTAATCAGATCAAAACAAGCCATACTTGCATGTTGAAAAAGAGAGTAGGTGCAAATGCATGTTATGCAAAAAGTAAATTTACACCACACAAGGTATAAGTTTTAGACAATAATATATTTGTTGTTTCCATTTATTTATCTTTTGTTTAATGGGTTTGCTACCAGAAGGTCAAACAATTACACGTTTTGCCATGTGCTTCACAAGTATGTACTTATAGTCTTATACCTGTCTGTTAACCTGACTTTGTTCCTCAGAAATACCAAAAAGTAATTTTCACCAAAAAATACATGTATTTTCATACCAGTATTTACAACTTTGTTTTCCTTTACTTACAATGAAAGTTTGTATAATGATTAAAAACTGCAACAGGAAAAATCAAAATTTAAAAGCATTTTACAGAATTTTCTGGTATAATTGTGTTGTAAACATGAAGATGCCTCTTGTCAATGTAACAGTTTAAAACCTGATGAGCGTCATCAGTGAACAATTTTGAAATTCCAGTAGTTTCAATAAGCTTTTTTATAGAGACATCTCATTTTCAAATTGAGATTTCTTGATTAAATAACATAGTGCTTCAGTTTCTGATTTTATTGGTGAGGGACAAAAATGAAGACTTTAATTGGCAAGGGGTATATATACTTTATGTAGATTTGCTTTAATAGACAAAGAGAGTATATCTATGAACAAAGAATTTTTAGCATTATTTTATAGAAAATTCGGGTATAAAAGAAATACCTCCCTTATCTACTTATAGCCAACAAAATGATAAAAAAGAAGCCTCCCTCCTCCTCTGTTTTTGGGAAAATTGGCCTGAGAACCAGAGAATTAAATTTATGTAGCCTTAAAGTTGTACATTAATTTCAATTTGAAGTCATTATTCACCTCATTTTAAAATACAGGAATAATTTTAAGAAGTTTATTATATAAATTAGCATTCCTATTACAAACTTAACCTAATATGGAATGTATATCATGCCAACATTCCATGCATTTAGGCATAAAAAAGAAAAAAATAGAGTCAAGTTTAAAGGAGACATTTGGTTGTTAACATGTTCAGTGTGTGCATTTGAACAAAAAAATATCATTTATATTATCTGGATTTCAGTTCAATATCCAATTTAGGACATTTATGAAATGAGGTAAAGGATGACAAAGCATATCTGTGAAGTAGTGCATTTTGAAATGCCCAATGTCATTGTGAAGTTATAAATATCTTTAAAAGACATTTATCAATTTCATATTTTACAGTATTGGTATACATGTTTATATATATATCTGTGAGTGATGTATAAAGGGGTTTATTCTGTGATTATTTTAACAGAGGCCTGTTCCTGGAGATCAGATAGTACGAGGTGTTACCCGGGCACTTGTCGGGATGAACTGGCCTCTCAGTGTCAGTGTACTAAAGGCTTTACAGGGACTCATTGTGATACAAGTAAGGTTGATTTGTTTAAAGGTATGATTATAAATACTGAGAGAATTTATGCAAGAAATAAATTATCGCTGAACACTTCATGTTCAATTTTGAAAACAATTATAAAATAAAATGGGACACATATAACAAATCTTTGCAGTGACAGAAAAAGCTGAAATTTTATACAATGAGTGTAAACTAAAAGACAGTGCTGGACGTGTTTTGATGAACCCTTCGGATCCGAATGTCAGTCCACCACAACCTATCGTATGGACCAATAACGTCATCTGGCATGAGGCGGATACCAGATGGGATGCTAAATATACCCTGACTGAGACCCCTCCCCCACCTGACCCCACAGGACAGAACCACTATGTGACAGACTTTAAATATGGCATTGTACAGGCTATTTCTCATATCCAGTTACTTAGAAATCAAGGTAGCTGAATACATTTTTGGAGGATTTTTTAAAAAAATTAATTAATTTTTATGCTTAGTTTTCACTCGCAATATCCTATCAGAAATACTGCAGTTGTATTTTGAAATGCTAGCTTTCATAAATTCATATAAAGGATGTGCCTTTTATTTTGAAGGAATTTTCAAGAGATTTATTAGTATTTAATGAAATTTCATGTGCAAATTTTTGTTCAGAGCTGCCCTTTGCCCATATCTTTGTTATTTTCTTAGCAAAAACAAATTAAAAAGTTGGTGAAAAGTTGTCAAAATTCAGAAAACTGATATGAATGGGAAAATAATATGTAAAATATGGTAAATATGCAATGTCAAACTGGTAAAGATAATTACCTCTACCTTTGTTAAAGAGTGATTTAAAACTACAAAAGTATAATTTGTACAGACAGTAGTGTGGTATTAAGATTTTAGCATTGTTATACAGTCCTGTTAACCAAATATATGATATTTAGCAAATTATGCCTGAAGGAAGTTGAATTCTGCAGTCCAAAGAAATGTTAAAATTGTTTTTCCTTTATATACACAGGTAATAAGCCTATCATTGAGTTATTCTGTGAGATGTCTGTTTTAATTGTAGGTGTTGTTGGGGATAACTACTATGTCTGTCCAGGGGTGTCAGAAAGATCACCAGTAACTTCGGGATTTACATGTAGCAAAACCCTGAAATTTACATCATTACCTACTCCATTTCAACATAATGATGAGTAAGTAGCTGCTCTGAGTCACAAAGACCTATTGCTATCTGGGTTTTTTTCATGGGTAATAGACTGTTCACATTTTAACTTCAACTTGCCACAAAGCAGTCTTTGGTGACCATGCCCAATCAAACAGGAGATTTTTAGCTCACCTCGACGAAGTCGAGATGAGCTTATGCGATACCCCTGGCGTCGGCGTCCCAGTTAAAGTTTTAGGAGCAAGTCCCATTCCCAAGTAACTATAAGCCCTATCTGGACCAAACTTGCATGGATGATGCATCTAAGGATGGACGCTACCACACTTGCTTCGGATGCTGGATCTGACCTAGATTTTCCAGATGAGTGACCAGATTAAAGTTTTTGTAGCAGGTCCATTCCCAAATAACTATAAGTCCTACCTGGACCAAACTTGCATGGATGGTGCATCAAGGGATGGACACTACCACACTTGCTTCGGATGCTGGATCTGACCTAGATTTTCCATATGAGTGACCAGATTAAAGTTTTTGGAGCAGGTCCATTCCGAAGTAACTATAAGCCCTACCTGGACTAAGCTTGTACTTGCATAAGTTAGGGATGAACACTACCAAACTTGCTTCGGATGCTGGATCTGACCTAGATTTTCCAGATGAGTGACCAGGTTAAAGTTTTTGGAGCAGGTCCATTCCCAAATAACTATAAGTCCTACCTGGACCAAACTTGCATGGATGATGCATCTAGGGATGGACACTACCACACCTGCTTAGGATGCTGGATCTGACCTAGATTTTTCAGATGAGTGACCAGATTAAAGTTTTTGGAGCAGGTCCATTCCCAAATAACTATAAGTCCTACCTGGACCAAACTTGCATGGATGATGCATCAAGGGATGGACACTACCACACTTGCTTCGGATGCTGGATCTGACCTAGATTTTCCAGATGAGTGACCAGATTAAAGTTTTTGGAGCAGGTCCGTTCCCAGGTAACATAGGGCTTACCTATGTTTGAGAAATAGTGAAAAAAAAGTTGGGGTCTTAAAGAATCTTCTTAGAACCACTAGACCAGAAGTTACAAAATTTGAGTGGAAGCTTTTTTTGTAATAGAAGAATTTACTAGGAACTATTTATTGTGTCCTTTTGCTCTCAGCCAATATGGATTTAGGCAACAGAACGTATGTTCCCAGTGCTTAAGAAATATATTCTGATCTATTGCCTCATTACTGTTTAGGCATATATACAGTAGGGGTGAAACGATACACCTCCTTCACGGTTCGATACGTATTGTATAATTTTGTCTCGGTTCGGTTATTTTCGATACGATACATTTTGATAGAAGGAAACAAATTTAACGTTGTTTTATGCTTTCTTTTTCTAAATCTAGTCACATATTTTACGAATTTTATTTGCAAATTGACTAGAAGAAATTGATTAAAATTATTTGACTGTCAAAAATTATTTTACAAGCTATCAGTCATCAAAAATTTACTTTTTCTATACTTATTTATACTGTGTAACATGTTTTATCTTATGCCAAACCCGACTGAATAACGATCCCAACCGAAAAATGAACTGAACCGAAAATAAGGGATTTTGCACCGTGTATCAAACAGAGAAAAAATACCGCGGTGAATCGATACCGCGGTGAACCATTTCACTCCTAATATACAGTATACCTCATCTTCTTTACGCCAGGATTTCTCAGAGTCAAGCTGTCTGAATATGACAGTGATTAAAGAATTCTTCACCTGAGACCAGAGTTGTAGTTTCAGATGGGGCTAAAGTGGCCAAAGTCTGAGAAATGTGATACTCAGGTGACTGTCAAGATCCATGGGCCTCTTGTTGAACAGAAAAGATTTTAAAAAATCTTACTACTGCAATTCAGCCAGAGATTTGCAAATTGTCATTTGATTGCAAGCAGATCAAATATATATATTAATTGTGGTGCCACTTGGAAAATATTTTTTAATTTGGATGTTCTTATAAATATGATATTAATTTATTGCAGAGAATACATGTGATGTATATAGATGATATGATATTTTTAATTATCAATAGAGTGAAGTTCAGCATTGAAGCCAAATTGGGAGGTTATGTGAAGATAATGAACCGAGAGGCAGGGAACAGGATTGAGTATCACGCTCTGAAACAAACCACCAATAGACGTGAGTATGTGTACAAGTGGGATCTAGTCAGGCCCTATCACTGTGTGGCTTCCTCCTCCTCATGTCCCCAGTTCCTAACCGTGGTGGACCTCACAGAACAAGTAAGCATCATCATATTATTACAGTTGAACTTTGGTATCTCAAACACCAATATATCTTGAATACTGTGGATATGTTGAAGTAATTGTAAAGTCCCAACCACACAATTATTTTACCCTTGATTTCTCAAATCCTCGAATATCCCAGTTTTTTCTCGGTCCCATTGAGTTCAAGATAACTAGGTTTGAGTACAGTAAACATTTAAGTATGACTACCATATGTATTTAAGGACGTATAAAATACAAAATTTACTTTGAAGTTCAAAAGTTTTCAGATGTATTAAGTGTCAAATATAAATACTCACAAAATAAATGTTGATTCAATATTTTGAAAATTTAGATCTTTGAAAATTCGCTATAAAAGATGAAAATTTTGTTATTTTTAACTTCTAGGGGACACAAAATCAGTTCGCGATGACAGTAAATTCCCTATATCTGAGTTCGTCATATCTGTAAAATTTTATAAGGAATTGTTAAAGATTTCGCAGGGGATTGCAAAAAACTTTGCTTTATCTATAAATTCGCTATATCTGCATGTGTTTGTGCTAAACGAGGTTTACTGTATTACCATGTTATGGAAATCTTTGCCTGTTCTTGTTTTTTTTTCCTAAACACATTAAAAATTATATAAAAAGCAAACTTAACTATTGACCCTAATTTTTATGGTGTGTCACAAAAAACAATATCCTTTTTTTTTTTCTTGGCCTAATAAGATGTCTCTTATATGTGGTATCTGAAAACCAATTTTTCACACTATTGATGATTAACAATCATATTGTTTACAGCCCAGCATAACAATGACATGGGATGGCTGGACTGATGATTTGTCTGGCTTGTTGAGGTATGAATATGAAATGTATGAACTCGGCCATGATGGATCTGAATTAGGAGAAAACCAGGGAAAAGTAGTCAAGAGCCCAACTAGCATAAGCCTCACTGATCCAAGTGTAAGTATGTAGAAGGAATTTGAAGGTTTTACTTAATAAAAAATTTTCTTTGGACTTTATTCTATTAGATCTATACCTTTAAAAAGTACACTTAATTTACTTATTTCATCCAAATTCATTTAAATAAAAAAGATAAAAGGAAAAAAATCAATGTGAAAAATTAACTGCAGAAACTACAAGTTGCATATTGGCTATCCAGGCAATACTTATAATAAACTTGAAAGTTTTAAAGTTTTAAGCCATGAAAGAACTTTGAAATCTAAAGTCTTCATTCTTTCCTAGTTTATTACTGTTGAAGTAATCTCTGCCTTATCTTTTTTGCTTTAATTACAGGCTTCCGTTACATTGCCATACCCAGGAATGTTCTCCATACATTTTTCAGCCTTTGATAAAGCCGGGAATCATAAGACATCCAGGAAGCTGGTTTTCTATGACAACCAGTCCATCATTACCCAGAAATCCAACAAGGTGACTCGTGTTGTCACGGCTTCATCAGAGACAAATTATCTGTGGGTTGTACAAGACACAAATACTATAGTAGTCAGATGGACAGATCGCTTCTACAACGTTCGACACGAGGATAATCGCTGGCTCAACAAAGTCAAATCTCACTTTGCAATAGAGGATAAATATGATGATCATTATGGAGAGAGACAGGTCAAGGCCATCAACAATGTCCATGGTGTGTTTATGTTCCGCTGTCAATATTTTAAGGCATCCCTCGCATTCTTAATTTAAGGATAATGTTACGAGATTTAAAGTGCTAGTGAAAATTATTTTCCTCAGCCCTTAACATATCTAATGGTGAACTTAAAACGGAGAAAATAAGATTTGAAATGCTATAAAGTAGAGATTATGAGATATAATTATGTATTTTATAAACTGGTATGTAATTTTTATCCCTTATCCAAAAAGATGAGGGAAAAGATTTTATTATCAAGCGGTATATCCATGCATAATATTTTGTTTTAGTGATTATGAAGTTACAGAATTGTACTGAAGTTTTATAATAATTTTCTTTTTTTCAGGAATTGTGGAATTTCAGGTAGCTTACCAGGTGTATGACAGCAGTGGTCCACAGGATTCTCAGGCCCTTACCTCAGTGTCCAATATTCAGAATCAGGCACAGACCCTGACTGTAACCTGGGTGGATGGCAATAAGTTGACCGCTACAGTAAAGGCTATAGATTATATGTCCAAGACAAAAGAGGAGGAAGTGACTGTGTACAGAGATGCCACGCCCCCTATTATAGAGGATCTCTGGTTAACAAGAGGAGACAGGCTTAATGTTAGTGTTCACAGAGTTGAAGATTTCGCAGAAATGATGTAAGTTATCAGCCATTAGTGCAGGTGATAGATGTCTATGTTTTACAGTTTAAACTAGTTTTAATCTTCAATGAATGTCATAAATTGTATCATAAATGTACATATATGATTATTTTTTATTCACCTGAGTCACTTGGGTGACAGATTGCCATGCCTTTCTTGATTATCTTTGTACAGTGTCTGTTAGACTTCTCAACATTATCAGCTTCTTTTCAGAAATTGCTGTTCCAATTTGTTAAAGAGCAACAATAGGTAAAGGGTTCCTGTCTTGACGGGAGATACTTTTTTACCAAAAATGACCCTAAAAGAACGTCTCCACTGTTTCCTGCTATTTTTATCACCAGTTTTTAATTTAACTTCAATTTGGGTGAAAAAATTCTGTCCCTTTCTCCGGCCTTGGTTTGATACATCCCAAATCCCCCCAAACAAATATTTTACTATGGAAGGCCTGACTGTCAGTACCCATGGACCTTTAAGATCCTTAGTCTTTACTCCTGGACATTTGATAGACAAATGTTCACATAAATGTGAGCAATGGCCTTTTAAGATTTATAGCCCATGGATTTGGAGTTCTGTCCTCTAGGAAAGGGCTTAACTGAATATATACTGAAGTTGAAATATGACTCTTGTACATACAGTCAAACATTGTTATCTCAAAATTGATGGGACTGAGAAAAAAATTCAAGATATCCAAGGGTTCAAGATATTGAGGATAAAATACTGAAAGAATAAGTGCTTGGAACTTCCACTGAATCACTTTAAAATATGCATGATATTTGAGATACATGTTACAATCGGTGTTTGAGATGCAAAAATTCAGCTGTTTTTTTTGTTTTTTTTTGCTGAATATCCAGTAAAATGTTGAATATGTGCACTTCCAAATTGTGTCCTCTGGGTTCAGGGGTTAGCTCCCATAGGCTGACCTCCTACTGAGACTAAACCATATGATCAAAAAATCCAGTAATGATAAATGGAGCAGATTATGATGAACTGATTAAAGATCATAAGCTCAATTTAATCTGGGTCTGCATTTCAGTGTGGAATGGGTAGCATATGACTATCACAGTGGCTTAGATAGGATATCATGGCGACTATTTGACAACTTCACAGGAACTGAGCTACTACATGGTCATGAAGATATTCCTGCTCAAGGACAGGCTGCTGTAAGCATACATACTAAATAAATCAATATATAATGGATTCAAGATTGCTTGTTGATAATTTAGATTCTGTAACTTTTTGACATGGTCAGATGACTTCTTTCAAGTGTGAATTTATTATTAGTTTAAAAACTTTAATTGAAGACTGATTTTATCATGTTCTTAATTTATACAGACTCTAGCTGACTGTCAGTCCAAGTATGGTAGTTATGCAAGGGGAGCTAACTGCTATGTGACTCCCTTTTGGGGAGCCTACCACAAACACTTCCAAGTGAAGCCAGCTGTGAAGGCTCAGGGGGGTCTGAAGAATGGCATGCAGTCAGGTGTACATGACTGGGAGTATTATCTAGAAGTCTCAGCAACAAACAAAGCAGAATTAACCACAATCTTGTCAAAAAAGGTAGGAAAATAAGTATTATGATTGATCATTTAAAGCCAGCTGGGTCTTCATTAAATATATCTTCTTGAAAGAAATGTACACTATGATAAGAATATAAAATACCAGGCAGTGGGAAGTGGTCCCTCATGGGAATTATTATTAAAAATTTGTACTTGAGGATTTGCAGTGAAGTTTCCTTTGTTCATGATTAAGGCTCTCTGAATTTGTTTCATTGTATCGTAGTGTATAAGGGGAATACTACAATAGCTAGAGTTATTGTTTAAAAGGTTTTTTATTGAAACAGTTCTTTATGACCTTTACTCCTATGTTACATTATTTGTTTGCTAGAGTTGTTTATGGCTTTGATTAATTGCAGATAACTATAGACACATCACCACCCCACCCTGGTTCTGTACAGGATGGGGTCCAGGGGACAGAGGAAGTGGACTACCAGCAGAGTAAGACCCTGACCGCCCACTGGGAGGGATTCTTTGACAGGGAGAGTGGGGTGCTGTTCTATCAGTATGGATTTAACACCAGTCCCATCCCTGGCACAGCATTTGCATTAGACACCGGAAGCTCCATGGTATATTGCTTGTAATTTTATATACCATCGAATGATTCTTGATCTACACGTATATATGTACAGTCATTGTGAAATGAAAGACAGCTTAATAAAAAAGATTCTATAACTTGTTTACATATAATTGCATATTTTAATTTTTCACCTCAGAAAATTAATGTATCTTAATGTAAAAAATCTAATGTAGGCTTAATTTTCAGGGAAAATCTAATGTATAATGTTTTTTCTCTTCTAAACATGCAGCTTCATGAAACATACTCACTGCATGCCACCCATACAGTCTCAACCGAGGGCACTTACTACATATGTGTGGTAGCTTATAACCGGGCTTTAGAGCCATCAGAGCCTGTCTGTTCTGATGGGGTGACAGTGACCACTGCCGTCCCCAGGGTACAGGAAGTCAACATAGAGGGAGCTACAGTCACAGGGGGATTGGTGACCGATGAAAGCAGGTCAAACTATTGGATTGTCACCAGTAACAGGTTTAGGAGGCTGATTCAGAATGTAACAGCAGAGTGCATGTAAGTTTTCAACTCGCTGATTGTGTTCACATCCTCAGAATATGCTGTAGCTGTTTAGTTCATTATGCTGCATCTACTTTAATTAGTTTGTAATAATTTAGATTAGATGCTCGATATGTTAATATCTGACATTGACCTACTGTGTATCAGGTTTTTTTCCGCCGGTATCCATTATCCATTTTGTTTGGGATGATATCCGAATAACTGAAAATGAATCAATGTTAATTTAATTAGTACAAAGTTTTGTTTTTTAATAGAGTTATCTGTCTCTTATTATATATTATACAGAAAAGTAATACTGGATAACGGACATATTGAGATTGAGATACTGTGAAATCACTAATTTTCATGGGAGTTAATTTTTGTTGTTTTCATGGTATAAAGAAACCCACAAATTCATATCCCCCACGAAATGTTAAAATTTCGTACCACAGTACAGTGGGTCACCTTTGACCACAAATTCAAATCCCCTCAAATCAGTAATATGTTCTTAAATCACAAAAATAAGTGATTTTACAGTATTGAGATTGGACCCTTTCCCAAGATGGACTTATTGAAACACAAGGGAACTACATCTAAAATATGAAAATTTGAATTTCTTACATATCAGAAATACGTATCTGATAAATCAGAGGAAAACGACAAAATGCCATCCAATATTCGAGTTTCCAGATGGATTTCTCATTACAGAATCCGAAAATCTTTGGGCAATGGGAGAACGATAAAAAAAAACTACATCAACAAAATTATTCTTCCGTATGTAAACAAAGTGAAGAATACATGTAATTGCAATTTACCACTTGGCCAGCTTGCTGTGGTGATCTTTGACTGTTTCCATGCAAGGACAGATTGCAGAGGAATTAATGGCAAAATTTACTGTCTGCAAATTGACTCATTTACATTACCTGTGGCAAAATGTACAGATTTACTTCATATGAACATAAACAGAGGTGCAAAATCTTTTTAAAAAATGAATTCAAGAGAGGGAACATGGCAGAGGTGTGTGTTCAGCTGAGTGGGTCTTTGGAAATTAACAAAATGAAGGTTGATTTATCTCTCACCTGGATGAAGCCACTTGGAGCTGACAAAGCTTTTCGATTAAATGTGAACAAAACTTGAGATCGTCAGAAATGGATTCAGAAAAACGGAAATATCATTCATATTGGGATTTGATTAAATTGTGATAGTAACTTAAAACTCGTGTAAATTGTTTCTTCATTTAAAATAGTTTCACATACACATGCTGGCTTTTTTTTACTAATTCTTTGTAGATTTAAATAATCTTGAATTATGTTTTCATGACTTTGAAATAATGAAAAATTAATTAATGTAAACTTAATACACTGTTTTAGGTTCTGATTTGCAGAAAAAAAACATGAGGCGGAAAAAACCTGATAAACATGTACATGTTTCAGTGTTTTAAAATAAAAACAGAACAAATCATTAATTGAAATTTATTTCTCAATTTTTAATAAAATGCAGTAAATTATTAATCTATCATGTTAGATTAGCTTAGGTTGTTTATTTCCTTAGGACCAAAGCTACAGTTCTGAACTACACTGACATTTTACCAGCTGAGCATAATTCTGATGGTACCTTTGTGGGGGTGAATGGCAGCATATTCTGTGCCAACGCCTCAGGTGCTCCAGCCTCACTCAACCCAGTCCTGTCTAAATCATCCATGGCAAGTTAATTTAACTACAAAATATAGGATAAAATAAGATAACGTAAATATTTTTGCAGTATGAAATTAAATGTAACTGTGGTGGTTTTCTAGAAATTGATACAAAGCGTAAGAATTAGAAAAAGAAATCAAGGAAAAGCCTTATAATGTGGAACCACTGTAAATTTGTTGAACGATTACAAGCTGTGTGTATTTGCTGTTGGTTTAGAGGAATCGCAATTTACACAAATGTTTTTGCTCCTATAACAATTCACATTTTCTTGATTTATGTAGGTGTACATGAGCTGGAAAGCTGTAGACAATCCAGGTAGCGTCCATGACTATGAAGTGGGCTTCTCCTCCTCCAGTGGGAGTCCTGCCCCTGACATTATGGCCTTCAGAAGTACCAAACAACACCCCCACATCAGCATTCCTCACACTGATATACCAGATGGGACAGAGTTTTATCTTCTTATCAAGACAATCAGCAAGGCAAACGTGGAAGGGATTCAGGTAGCCACAGGAGGTTTATTAATTCTAAAATATGATACACACTATTTCACAGCCTGGTACTCATAAAACTTAATCTTAAATATGGGGGGGGGGATTTTTTCAAAACTAAGACTATATTCATTAACTTATTTGTGTGAAAACTGCTTGCTTTTCTTGATAAACTGAAGTTTATTCTTGAAAACATCATATACTTGTCATTTTTCAAGTTAACCTGTTGCATTTTTCAGTCCATTGGTCCTTGTTTTATGGACACCACTCCTCCAGATTTTTCAGGGTCAATTTCTGTGACACATTTCAATGGATCCCTCATAGCTACCTGGAGTCCAGGAGCCTTCTCTGATCCTCAAGAACCTTTTACACTTAAGTTTCAGTTTGCTATTGGTAAGCAAAATGAAGAACAATGAATTTTTTTTTTTAATGTTCTAAAGAAACAGTCAATATTTTTTTTTCCAGGAAGCTTAATAACTTTTATCATAAGATTTATATTGAAGAAGGGATGGTAAATGTAAAAATGTAGATTTAAAACAAAATATTTTAGGATTTAGTATTACAGAACTCTAGAACAACAAGATGTGTTTGTGAAACACTGATGCCCCCGAATGGCAGCTTATGGCGAAGGTTAAAGTTTCTTAAATGCAAGTCAAACTCCAGGTCAAGAAATCAAAAATGTTGGTACCCAAAGAAAGGTCTTGTCTCAAGGAATATACCTGTGAAATCTGAAAGCCCTAGTACAAACCGTTGAAAAGTTTTGGCGAAGGTTAAAGTTTTTTCAAAGTAAGTAAAACGGCAAGGTCAAGGTCAAATGGTGCCCAAGGGAAGTTTTTGTCACAAGTCATACACATGATCATGAAATGTGAAAGCCCTAGACCAAACGTTCAAATGTTATTGCCAAGGTTTAAATTTTTTAAAAGTAGGTCAAACTCCAAGGTCAAGGTCAGTGCCAAAATTGTTGGTATCCTAAGCAAGGTCTTGTCACAAGGAATATACATGTGAAGTATGAAAGCCCTAACACCAACTGTTCAAAAGTTATGGCCAAGGTTAAAGTTTTTCAAAAGTAGGTCAAACTTAAAGGTCAAGGTCAAAGGGTCAGAGTTGCTGGTATCTAAAGGAAGGTCTTGTCACAGGGAATGCATATGTGAAGTATGAAAGCCCTAACACCAACCGTTCAAAAGTTATGGCCAAGGTTAATGTTTTTCAAAAATAGGTTAACCTCCAAGGTCAAAGGGTCAAAGTTGTTGGTATCTAAAGGAAATTCTTCTCACAAGGAATGCATATGTGAAGTATGAAAACCATAGCACTAACTGTTCAAAAGTTATGGCTAAGGTTAAAATTTTTCAAATTTGAAGTAGGTCAAACTCCAAGGTTAAGGTCAAAAGGTCAAAGTTGTTGGTATGCAAAGAAAGGTCTTGTCACAAGGAGTACACATGCAAAGCATGAAAGACCTAGCTTAAACTGTTCAAAAGTTATGGCTAAAGTTATAGTTAAAGTTTTTTCAACAGTAGGTCAAACTCCAAGTCAAGGTCAAGGGTCAAAGATGTTGGTATCCAAAGAAAGGCTTTTTCAAAAGGAATACACTTGTGAAGTTTGAAAGCCCAAGCTCCAAGTGATCAAAAGTTATGGCCAAGGTTAAAGTCTCAAAATATTTTGCAAAAGTGGGTCAAACTCCAAGGTCAAAAGGTCAAATGTGATGGTACCCAAAGAAAGGTCTTGTCACAAGGAATATACATGTGAAATATGAAAGCCATAGCTCCAACCAATCAAAAGTTATGGGCAAGGTTAATGTTTTTGCAGACAAACAGACAGACAGACAGACAGACGAACAGGGCAAAAACCATTTGCCCCCGAATCTTCGATTACGGGGGCATAAAAATATTGATATTTAAATCATTCATTTACAGTAAACTTTATTATAAGGAATGTCACTGTGACCTCGAATTTTACTTTTTTACAACCGAGATTCTTTATATCAGTGTAAGGAACATTGTGAAAAGTTGCCCAGGGGATTCAAAGTTAAAGTTCCTTATAACCGTGATTTCCTTATAACCAAGTTCCTTATAACCCAGTTTTACTGTAGTTTATTTGAACATGCAAAATTTTCATATTCCGTCCAAATTATATAGGACATACACCACGAGGAACAGATGTTCAATCCTTTATCTCTCTGAGGAGTGGTGGATCCTGTGTGGTGGGAAATCCCCCGACCTGTACTGCTATCAAGGTATCAGATACAGAATGGGGAGTCCATGGACATCACACATACTACTTCACAGTCAAGGCAGAGAACTCTGCAGGCCTGACCAGTTATGGAGTGTCAAATCCCTATATACATGATGTACAGCTAGCTGCTAAAGGGGTGGTCTTAGACATTCCATCTGATTCAGTAAGTGTTGAAGTAAAAACCAACTGGATGTTTATATATTATAATTAGGTCTTCCGTTTTCAAGGAAGACCTATAGTGATTCTACTGTTTCTTCTTATTACAGTGGTTCCCGTTTTATCGAATAGTCAAGTTGTCAGCATAGTTTTATCCGAATAGCCGAAAATTAGAATAGCCGATTGCTCCATACCGAGTCCAAAGATAGATGTATAGAGCTACATGTATTGATAATACATCGTTGCTAGCAAATTTCAAGCTTGCACTTTTGTTTTCTTTTGACATGTTTACTTAATGACTTTACTAAAAATAATTTATTTCACTTACTTATGAATTTAATATGAAATTTTTTATCAAATAAATTGACGTATAGAGTATATTCTTTGATAGTTATTGCCATCTTTCTTCAGCACATGTTTACATTCCTTCTTCGATGGTCGCCATTTTGGAAAAGGAAGTAGACTAAATGCTTGACTAATAACCGTAAACTATTTTTCCCTGGATAGATTGTAAATTGAAAATAAACAAAAATATTAAATATATGTAATTGTTTCCTTTTGATTTGTTTCTTTAATACGGTTACGTATTTTATACTGTGTGTGAGTTTACCAGTCTCGTTCTTGTCTGCTGAAGAGAGATTTTGAGAGCCATGTCGAGAAAGTTGGTATGAATTTTGAGACGTATTTTTATAGAACGAGCCATTTGTGATTTTTACCATAAATTTTGCACTGAAAAGTGAATAAATATTAAGCCAATTTACCAAGTTAAATGATTGAATAGGGTTATTTCATTATCCAAGCAAATTGTCATACACAAGCTAATCAGTTCAATAATTAAAATTTCATGCCGAAAAAATTGCAGATAACTGTCATAATTAAGAAGTGCATCATTGAACCCAAGCTGATCACCACAACTGTAATCAAAACATATCTATTTACTATGCCCACTATTGACACAGGTAAGGTGCCTGTGTGCGTCCAGGCGTAACTTATCCCCTCATTGTCGTACTCAAGCCAGTCAAGGTAATTGGTGTCAAACTGTAAACAAAGGCTTCACATACGAAGATGGAGCAGGGCTCGACATTAATTTTTTCCCCTACTTGTCCAATCAGGCAAGTGACCAAGACATTTACTTGTCCGAACTTCAACTTCACTGGTCTGAAATTTGTTCAATAAAGATACAATACTGTCAACTTGAAAACTAATATAAAGTCCATTACATGTGATTCATTCGTGATGTTATTGATAAATACAACAAACACATGAAAACAAACTTTTATCTAGACTTTCTATCCTGACAACAACATAAATGTTCACAAACATCAAACAGAACCTAAACTTCGTAACTCGACGTAACTTCATGCCCTCCTTTGCAGTAGTATCCCAGCTAGCACAAAAACATTTTTAAAATGTTTTTAAAACATTTTCAAAATGTTACGAAAACATTTTCAAAAATGTTTTAATCACGTGATTTTGTATGGTTTTTTAAACGTTTTTAAAACATTTTAGCATAATGTTTCAGCAAATGTTATCAGAACATTTTATTAAAATGTTACGAAAACATTTTCAAAAATGTTTTAATCACGTGATTTTGTATGGTTTTTTAAACGTTTTTAAAACATTTTAGCATAATGTTTCAGCAAATGTTATCAGAACATTTTATTAAAATGTTATGAAAACATTTTCAAAAATGTTTTAATCACGTGATTTTGTATGGTTTTTTAAACGTTTTTAAAACATTTTAGCATAATGTTTCAGCAAATGTTATCAGAACATTTTATTAAAATGTTATGAAAACATTTTTGAAAATGTTTTAGTCACGTGATTTTGTATGGTTTTTAAAACGTTTTTAAAACATTTTACCCTAATGTCGCAATGACATCTCTTTCCTAAAATGTCACTTAACGTTTTCATTAAATGATATCAACATCATTTGTATGATTTTTCAAAGCGCTTTTCATACATTCCAGCTTAATTAATTAATCACATCTGAATGAATTCACTTTTTACAAATTTTAATACAAATCCTTATTTAATATGAAACACATATTTTAGTTCTATTTCCAGTACAAGTTTTGAGTTATTCTGTTTTAATCCAACAGGTATTTTTAAAGGAAAAAATCCATTCTCTGAATTTCAAAACAGCAGAATCACATAAATCCTTCCAACTAGAAAGAATAAACAGACCTAGGTCACTGTTATCATTTACGATCCCCCAAAAAGCATGTATCTACATGTACATGTGTAGGTTCCACAGAGTGGCGGATCTATTATATAAATGGAATCGCACACATTAATAAAGTTCACAAGAAGTCTGTCCTAGGAAAGAATTGAACAAGAAGCTCTTTTCTGTAAAGCAGAATCTGTAAACATAGAGGCAACAGTGTTAAAGTCATCCGTCTACATCAGATCTTTAAATAATGAAAATGTACACGAACATTTTTTTAAATAATAAAATCACATAAAATTTTCCATTTGCATTAATGAAAAGAATTAGAGTTGTTGCATGTTCATAACTAAAACACAATAATATTATTGAAGAGCAATGATATTTACGTACAAAAAAATGCCTTTATCAGCTAGAGGCGGTTCTTTCAAACGTGGCTATTTGAATGAAATTCAAGTCTGTTGATGGAACTGTCATCTAACTGCAATATGATTTCATGTTTCAATAATAAGATATTTTGAATTTTGATCAACATAAGACAAGGAGGCATATTTGTTGTTTTCTAAAGTATTCAAATTCAAATACATAATAGCTTTGTTCTGCTACTCATATGTATACATGTATTCAGAAATAAAATGATGTACTGGTAACAGAAGAGTCACTTTTAAAAATTATCTTTTGAAATCTCTGAAGAAATTATACTCACAAAGCAGGTGTTAATAATCCAGCGCTAATTCTGGCTTATATGATGCAAAAATCTTGTTTGAAAATCAGCAACAAGAAAACGCACACATCCTGTTTACCAGAATTCAAATTTTGGCGTAGATAAGCTGCAAACCACTATACTCTCTAACGCGCTGCCCAGCAGGAGAATTGCATAACAAGGTTATCATGACACTGAAACTGACCAGTGTAGCCACTCCTAATCTGCTGTCTTGGAGTTTAAGAAATATGATGCAAACAGACAAGATCGACGTCAAAAATCAGGCTGTGTTAATTATTGTAAACTGTTTGCTTATTATTTTTTCTTTTTTTTAAATTAAAGTATCTTTACTTTATTCAGTGAACTTTGTATTGATTACATGTCTGTCAACTCAATAAGAATTTTTGAAAAAAGAAAGAAAAATACAGGGATAATATTTTTTCTCGGGAAAAAATTGGGTTAGTCATGAATATTTTTAAAACATTTTGGAAATTACATTAAAAAATTTTGCATCAATGCTAAATAAAATGTTTTAGTCCTTAAAAGGATAAACGTTATAGTCAATGTTCTAAAAACATTTTTACAACATACTTTGAAAATAAACAAATCATTAATATTAACAATGATATAAATGTTTTAAAAACATTTTGAAAATGTTTCTATAGAATGTTGCATAAATTATAAATAAAATGTTTCAGTTGTAGGAGGAGAAAACGTTTTGTCAATGTTTTAAAAACATTTTCACGACCAATACTGAAACATTTAAATATTAAACTCTAAGCAATATTAAGAATGTTTTAAAAACATTTTGACAACGTTCTTTCGAAATGTTTTTAAAACGTAACATTACTATGTTTCATATATGTAGAAGAGGAATGTTTTATTTCAGGTTTTAAAAACATTTTTATAACGTTATAAGAAACTGTTTAATATATGCAAACAAGAATACCTTTGGAATCATTTTTAAAACGTTTCAAAAACATTTTCTAGAAATGTTCCTTAAAGATTTTACTTTAACCTTTTTGAAAACATTTTGAAAAAGTTTCTATAGAATGTTGCATAAATTATAAATAAAATGTTTCAGTTGTAGGAGGAGAAAACGTTTTGTTCAATGTTTTAAAAACATTTTCACGACCAACACTGAAACATTTAAATATTAAACTCTAAGCAATATTGAGAATGTTTTAAAAACATTTTGACAACGTTCTTTCGAAATGTTTTGAAAACGTAACATTACTATGTTTCATATATGTAGAAGAGGAATGTTTTATTTCAGGTTTTAAAAACATTATTATAACGTAATAAGAAACTGTTTGATATATGTAAAGAAGACATACCTTTGGAATCATTTTTAAAACATTTCAAAAACATTTTCTAGAAATGTTCCTTAAAGATTTTACTTTAACCTTTTAAAAACATTTTCAAAAATGTTTTTAAAATGTTACAATGGGAAAGAAAAATGTTTTTAAAACATTTTAAAAATGTTTACTCTGAAATGTTTTGAAAAAACATTTTTATAACTGCAATAAAATGTTTTGAAAATGTTTTGTGCTACCTGGGATGCAATTAGTGAACTTCGATCCTGATCGAGTGTGAACTCAATTATATAGCGATCCATATCGGGATCGAAGTTCGTTTTTTTATGTACTGCTTACGTCTTTACCGATGAACTTTCAATAGTCGTTCTTTTTATTATTTGAAGACTTCTTTATATTAAAATGCACTTGTCCAATCGGACAAGTGCCCAGCAATATTCACTTGTCCGTAATTTTTTTTCGCTGGTACCGGAAAAGCGTTAATGTCGAGCTCTGTGGAGGTGTGAACAAGGTGCTGATTATCAAAAAACACTATGATAGTCCAAATTTTTGTATTGGATAAAACGAAATTCCACTATTTTTTCATCAGAATATCAGGTGAAATTATTTATAAATATATAAGAAATGGTTTTGTGCTCTGATATTATATTGAAATAGCCGAAATATTCGTTAAACCGCTATCCGATAAAATGGAAGCCACTGTATTATTATTCTTATTTTTTTGACTTTCTAATTTTGTGCACGCGATTTCTCGAAGACTATTGGATGGATTTACATGAAATTTTCAGGAAAGATGTGTTGTAACATGAACTTGATCTGTCTGAGAGAAAATTTGGAAATTCACTTCCGGTGCCAAGTTACAGACCATTTTCTGATTTCAAAATGACATTTTGTCCGCGGATAATCTCAAGAACGACAAGAGATATCAATGTGAAACTTTCAGGGATTAAAGTTCGTGATAGATACTAGCCGGGTTGCCCCTTTTCGTTCGTCATCGGCACTTCCGGTCGCTTACGGAAGTGATCAAAGAAATCGTAAAATTTCAACTTTCTTTTTTTAAATCAATGCCTATATCACATAATTGCATCTCTTTTGTAGTTTCGAAATATGTTGGTCCCACTGAAAACAAAAACGTCAACTTCCGGTTGGAAGAGAAAAACCACATAATTTGAGTATTTTTCTCTCCCATTAATCTCTTTTGTAGATAAAGTATTTGAAATGAATTTTAAATATGTTATTCAGACTGCAAATGTCTAGAGTAACGTCAAAAATCTTTGTAAAATTCACTTCCGGTCGCGTGTTTTTCTGTCCTCAAAATGAAGTTGTCTGAGCAAGATCTCGAAAACGGTAAGAGATTAGGACACCAAACTTATATGAATAACAAACCTTAAGATGTAGGCAAAAACATTTGGGTTAAGAGCATCAGCCATCACTTCAGGTCGTCACACGTTATAGATAAAGTATTTGAAATGAAATTTAAATGTGTTATTCAGAGTGCAAATGTCTAGAGTATCCTTAAATATCTTTCAAAATTCACTTCCGGTCGCGTGTTTCCCTGACCTCAAAATGAGAAGTTGTCTGAGAGATCTCTCAAAAACATGGAAAAGATTAAAACACCAAAACCTGTATGAGTAATTGACCTTGAGGAGTAGGCAAAACCATTTGGGTTCAACGCGTCAGTCATCACTTCCGCTTGTCACAGGAAGTGATCAAAGAAATCAAAAATTTAAACTTTTCTTTTTTTAAATTAAAACTTGCATCACAATATTGCATCTCTTTCGCTGTTTTAAAATAAGTTAGATTCCACCGGAAAAAAACGTTAACTTCCGGTTTAGGAGAAAAACTATGTTATTTTGATATCTAACTTCTCATAAATATTGCTTATCGATAAAGTACATGAAATGATTTTATGTATGTTTTAGATACTGCAAATGTCTAGAGAAAAGTCAGAGATTTTTTTATAAAATTAACTTCGTGTCGCGTGTTTACCTGTCCTCAAAATTAGAATTTGTTCTCACAATATTGCTCAGCAACAGTAAACGACTGAAGTCTAAAACTTTCAGGAATGATAGTCAGTCATCAGTTTATTTGAATCGTGGGAAAATATTGTATCGCCGTTACTTCCGGTCATGACAGGAAGTGATGCAAAAAAGTGAATGGTTAATGGTTAGCATGTTGGATTTTCAAGCCGACGACCAGGGTTAAATCTCCAGAGTGTCTGAAATTCTTTTATCACTTTTTCAACTTGAATTTTCGTTTTTGTTTTCCAAATCGGACGGAAGATCTCTCATTGCTCACAATGAGTTTCTAGTTGTAGATATATATTTTGTGGTATTTCACAACAAAATGATAATGCTGTTAAAAAAAAATGAAGGAATTTTTTTCTCATTTCAATATTTTCTTCTTTTTTTTCAGAAATTAGATCAGCTGCCTTTGACAGTAAGTAAATAAATTGATTTCATTTAGTGTCCCTCAAATGTTCTACAGATGAATTTTTAGCTTACCTGGCCCAGAGGGCCGTGAGGTTATGCCATCACTTAGCATCCGTTGTCATAAGCTTTATAAAAAAAAATTCTCTGAAACAAGCAGATTTTTCTGATACTTTATAGTAATGATATGGGGCTGTCCTGTACGAATGATCCCATTTTCATTTTGATCCAATCAAAAACAAGGATACTTGCTATATATTTAGAACATAGGGAAGGGGTGATAAGCAGTTTTGTGCATATTACTCAGACTTTCATGCAGATAGGTAAAGCTTACAAGTGGAAAATAATAAGGATGGCATTATCTAGCAACCTAGCAAGTTTCGTTAAATTCTGTGCAACCATGTTGGAGTTATGACCCCTGAAATGTCAGATTCTCCTGATTTTGCAGTTTCATCATAAACATAATTGTAACAATGACCTTATTTTTTTTCTTTAGGACATTGAGGATATAGATTTTACCACAAGTACTACCACTCTATCAGCTCGATGGGGAGGCTTCTCCCATCCTCACTTGGATGTGACCTATTTATTTAAGGCTGGCAGTGCCCCTGGGGCTAGTGATATTGTTTCCTCTAAGGATGTAGGAAAGTCTCTGGCTCATACAGAGACTGGCCTCAGTCTCCTACAGTTTCAGGTATTAAACTGCTGTTTTTGCTTGTCAAGTTTACACTTGGTCATAATTAGTGTAAAGGAGTCTGGTTGAAATAATAATGCTTAGAATGATATTATTAAAATACGTTTAGTCTGCAATTCTCCTGAATAAAACCTTGTATTTGTAGAAGTACTATGTCACAATAACTGCTGTAACCTCGGCAGGAAATGTGGAAGTGACATCAGATGGAGTGATCATGGTTCAACAGGATGCTGTATTATCAGGAATAACTATCAATGATGGGCAAAACTGTACCATGACAGGTTTGCATCTTAATTGTTATGGTTCAAATCATTTTGTGACCATGAAGCATCTTATTTCTATATAATGTACTTGATACTTAAAACAGATATTCAAAGAGTTAGTTTTGTTATTTCTAGTGAATCAATGACTTTGAATGTGTTTAACCCAGCACCACTCTTAAACAGGAGGGCTTGACTGTCTCAAATTTTACCTCATACATGTGTGTGCACATTAGCATTGAATTTTAATCTTTGATTGTCTTTCTCCATTTTCTTCCATTTTCAGTTGACCACGGAACAGTCTTCAGACATCATTTTGAGGTAAAACTTTGTCACTTGTGAAGTCTTTTCTCCCAATCATTTGTTAAATAATGACAGCTTGGTGTTGTTTTTCCCCAGGACAATAGACTGAAGTGTGCTGAGGACATGGATTACCAGTCGTCTACTAACAGCCTGGAGGCTTACTGGGAGGTCCCTAACTCCATAGCTCACTACACACCAGACGCTCACTTTTCTATAGAGGAGAAATCTCCCATAGGAGGTATACTTAAAATCTGATCATGCTTTGATATAGAGTGGCTTGTGATGGAGTCTCTCAAATACTACATAGTAAATATCAGTTTTAAATGTAATAATAGTTGCATTACAAACTACAATAATTACATTTACAGTGTAGTTTACTTCATTGTTTTCAGTCTTGATTATAGAAATATGTTTGCATTTAGCTTCAAAGACCAAAACTCTTAATTATAAATTAATATAAAGTGTTTTAAATTGGTGAGATGATTGATGTGTAATTTTAAAAACTGTTTAAGTACTTTTTTAATCATTTCAGCATGTTCAGTGAATAAAAAAATGATAAGAATATCTTAAAGGGAATGAATTTCTGCTAGTTCAAATTTGAATACAAAATTTATTTCATCGTCATAGAACTCTAGGTAATGTAAAAAAAATTCCATGCAATGAGAATAAAGTCATCTTAATCATCTTTACAGCTGTCTGGTCAACATTTAGAGAATATGAACATATACACAAGCACCATAAGGCCCAGGTCACAGATCTTAACCTGAAACCAGGGATGACATATAGATTTGCAGTTAAATTATGTGCCATTACAACTTGCTATGCCCCAATGTTTAGTGATGGTGTTCTGATTTTGGCTAATCCACCGAGCAAAGGGCAGATTACTGTGGAACATAGGAACACAACCCAAAGTTCTGGCTCAAATGAAACGGTATACACACGTCAGAAGACTTCAAGTTCTTTAAATACAAAAAGAAAATCTTTAAATTACTGAAGTATATCTTGTGCAAGCCAGGGCATTTATTTGATGTTTTTGTTCATTATTACTTTGCTTTTCTATATTGTTATACATCTTGAAAGGTCTTGTCAACAAATAATGTTTTATTTTTAGATTTTTGTCACTATGGATGAATTTTATGATCCAGATATCCAAGATGCTACTGATAAGTATAGTGTAGTTGATAAGTATGAATGGGCCATAACTGACCAATCAGAAGTAGGCAGAACACATACAATCTGGAATGAGGTTAAAAATGTACAGAAAATTCAAAACAAGGTAAGAAAGTCTGAATTTTTCTACAAGCAAATAAGATATTATATGGGGATAATTGCCTGCTTGAACCCATGTTAAACTTGAGAACACCTATCCATTGGCACCACAGAAATTTAATTTTTGTTTTAGGAACTTTAAATGCAATTTAATCTGTGGTTAATTCCTCCAACAGATGCAGTTTGAGGTTGGACTACTTGGAGAGTTTGACTTTTCTAAATGCCGTAGGTTCAGTGTCAGAGGTTACAACAAGGCCAAACTCTTCACCACAATATCAACAGACATTAAGGACTGTAAAGCCTTCGACCCAATCCTGATCAAACCTAACCTTGTTCTGGATGCAGTGGGAGAGTCAGATTCCACCAGAGGTAGATCCACATACCAAAACACAATTATAGTGGTTTTATACATATAAATTTGGAAAAGGGACAGGGATTAATGAAGCAACTGGCATTAATTGAAGTGATGAATTTATTTTATAATTTTCTGTTTCAGATGGCTATGGAAGTCCAGTATTTATCTTAGAAAATGCCATTTGGCCTTACCCAGACAAGGATTACACACCTAACATGAATTACATCTCCGCAGTCTGGCCACAGCTCCGTTATACTTCATACAAAGCTGCCGTGCTGAATGCTAGATCTATGGATGTCACAACCTATTACCTTCCCAACACCAACCTCTCCCTGCCTGACCCCTGCAGCCACCCAGATGCAATTAAATGTGACAGCACTAGTAAGAAAGAGTAGATATGAGATAATTGAAGCTTTAATGGCAACAGTTTTTTTGTGACATTACACTGTAAGAAGAATAAATCATTATTTAAAATTTAGTTAAGATTTTTTTAGTTTATTTACTAGGTGAATGTTCGTAACATAGAACACACTCTTGTGGATAAAGACTTTTGATATTATAGCATTGCTTTTTTCTGTGTCCATGTAGAGAATGAATTTATCAACATGAAGTTCAGCCCAGGAGAGCTTGTCCATGGTCAGAGGTACATGGTCTGTATCCACACTGAATATACTGAAATAAAGCACGAGTTGTGGACTCAGATACTGCCCCAACTGGACATTTGTAGTGATGGAATAGTGGTGGATCTAACTCCTCCTTCTCCTGGAGAGGTGTGGATAGGCAATGTGAGAGGTATAAAGTATCAGGTAAGATACAGAGATTTTCTTTTTGAAACTTTCCTCTGCTCTAAGGTTTGAGAGTCACACCTTGATACATATACATTGATCAATCAAAGAATTGACTTTTTTTTAGTTCACAATTATAGTAAATCACTTGTTTTTATAGGGGAGGGAATTAGATTATGTTCCTACTTTTACATTGATTCCCTGATTTATATTCCTGCAGACTTCTACAACAGATATGTACATAAATTGGGAAACTTTCCTGGATGTTGAAGAATTTCAAACCAATTCACATTCATCAGGAATTCAGGACTATGTTCTAGGAATTGGTAAGTAGTATGTAGCTAAATATGTCTCAACCTTAGTTAAATTTACTGTGAAAAAAGCATTAATTGGAATTTCTCTTCCATGCTCTTTTCATATAAAGTTCAGATGAAAAAGATATGCTTCTGCATATGAGAAGACAATTTTGCTGCATGCATCTACTAGTTAAAATACAAAAAAACTATGCACTGCAGTGTTTTTAATTATTTGGTCTATATGTACATGTAACAGGGACATCTATCGGAGGAAATGACATGGTGGCCTTTTTTTCTGTGGGTGTGGTCAATCACATGGCTCTTCACAATCTCAACTTGCAGAGTGGACATGTGTATTATGCAACAATTATAGGTATAGTAGCATATTCAAAGTAAATTGTTACTTTGTAATTTATGTTATACTACCGTAAATCTGGAAATTTTTGCTGTAGATAAATTTTTAGCAAATTTGCGCATGCATTGCGTTCGCAAAAATATTTTTCTTAAAAAAATCAACAACAAAAAAATGGTTTTATCTAAAGATTACTTAAAGATTATATATATTTTATGGACATGTGTGATTTATGAAAATGTTATGAAAACTTTCAACACTTTGGGTGATTTATCTTTTCTAATATTTTTATCTGATTATTGAACATTGGTGTAGTTTAATGTGTTTATTCGTAATTTATTCCTGGCGGCGCGTAACTTACAAACGTTTACGAAAATTTTAAGAGCTTTTTACATTTTAGTTTAAACGACGTTTCACAAAAATTCTAAACGTAAAAATTAATCAACAGACTTTTGATCCAGATTCGCAAAAATAAATCGACGTAAAAATTTCCAGATCTACGGTATCAGTTACTGATAATTTAACCTTAACTGCTTACTGTGAACGACAGATAAGAAAATACATTAATGACAGATACTTTTGCCTATGAAATTGCTGGAACAATCACACACCAGTGTAATGTATATTTCCATGTTGATTTGTGACATATATGACTAATATGTGTATTATTGTGATGAATTTCAGCCACTGATTTTGCGGGGAGAACTACAAATAAGACATCAGGGCCAGTTATTGTTGACACAAGTCCACCACTAAAATCTGACCAATCTGTTACAATTACGGGACGACATATTGTCTCAAATGCAGAATTAGAAGCATGGTAAGACATTTCAGTTTTCTTGGTAAATTATTTTCATTTGACTTCACAAGTGAAAAAAAAGAAGGAAAATATAGTTATAATAACATATGATTAAAGGGATATGGATGAAACCTGGTGAAAAGTAAAGTGACTCCGGAATAGTACAGCAGGTGGAGTTCAGTACAGTAAACATGGAAAGTTTATGCTGAAGAATTTTTGCAAGGAGTATAAAGTTTTGCAAAACTTATTGCGACTGTTTCAAAAAGAGGTGCCATACTAAACATTTAACCAATACATTTAGGGAATTCTGTAAGTTCTGCAGAAATGACCCCATGTGAACACTTTTTTTACATGGAAATTGCAGAATTTTACCCTTTAAAAATATCCACATTTACAATAATAGGAACAGATCTTTGTAATAAGTAAACTATTTTTTTGCATCTAGAATAATAAAATAAAATTTGTTTTTTTTTTCAGTTGGAAGGGTGTGTTTACAGACCCAGAGAGTGAGGTAGATTACTACATGTGGGGAATTGGCTCTCAGCCAGGTTATGATGATGTACTGACATTGACAAGAGAAGAGACAGAGTGTGGACAAAATAGTAAACTTAATCCATTGGACCTGATTGAAGGACACGCCTACTATATCTCAGTCAAGGTTATGTCTCATTAATAAAATGTAACCCACCTCAAGCAACATCAATTAATTAAGGATGTGATTGAAGATCAAATTTCAGTCCGATAATTTTGATAATAAAAATTTTCTTATTTAAAGGCTTTAAACAGAGCTGGTTTGATGTCCCTTGCCACCTCTTGGGCCTATGTAGTTGACACATCTCCACCAATAGCAGGACATGTGTATGATGGTGTACCTGTTTCTGGTAACCAGTCAGATATTGACTTCCAGACAGACATGTCTGCCTTAAATGTATATTGGGAGGGATTCCATGATCCCCATTCTGCCATTAAGGAGTACTTCATCAGTGTAGGCATCTGTCCTGGATGTGACAATATCGTAGCAGTACAAACCCTAGGCTTGGTGTACTCATTTAGATTAGACCAAGTCCACTTTGGTGCAGGGTTAAAATACTTCACTGCTGTAATGGCTTGTAATACAGCCGATTTTTGCACCACTGTCTTCACTGATGGTGTTATTATGGACAACAGTCCACCTAGTATGGGAGTTGTAATGGATGGTACAGGCTCTCATGACGTAGAATACCAGTCAATCAGGTAACACTTCATTGTCAACATGAAGCACAACATCGGCAGCTGCTATTAAAGACTTTCTAGTTTTGGATGGTTTATATTTAATCAGACATGTGATTTTGGAATTTTTAATTGAAAATAATGCATTAGGTGGAGCTGTGTCTTGTGGTTATGGCAATAAAAACATACTTTTTATTTGAATTTATGATCACTATTAGGTTTCTCAGTAACTTTCCAAACATTCTGTAATTCTTTTTATCTATGTAGGACTTGTTCTTATTTGAATGAACATTTTTAGGAATTTTATTGGTGCCAAATGGTATGGTTTTGTTGACCCTCAGTCAGGACTTGATCGTTATGTTTGGTGGGTGGGGAACTCCTCAGGAGGAAGTGAGATCCTCCCCCCACAGGAAGTACACCTTTCTGAGGTAGTGACCGCAGTGAACCTGTCCCCAGAACTTCCTGTGGGACAGAGAATTTATATCACAGTCAGGGCCTACAACAGAGCAGGTTTGTCAGGAGTCAGGCTAAGAATTAGTATTACATGTACCAGTAAATTTAAGAATTGTTGGAACACTTAAAAAGAAAAAAAGACTTCTGAATCAATGTTAGCTTTCTTAATCTGTTTGGGAAAAAGGTAATGCATTTGTCTCAGTCTGTAAATCTAGAAATTTGAATTTCGCTGTAGATCAAATGATGAATCACATGTATAAACAAATATTATTCCAAAAATTCTAAATACTACACAGGATTGTATGTAGACTCTACATCCAATGGTTTCATCATTGACACAACAGCACCTGTAATTACGGAGGGACCAAAGTTATCTACAGACTTTGGGACTGCTGGAATTGTACAGTTTTATAGATCAGTAATGAAGGTAGAATGGAAAGTGGAAGACAAAGAATCCTCCATAGAGAGACAGTATCTGTCCGTCAAATCTCACATGGGAGGGGAATTCAACCTGGCATCCACAAAGGTTAGATAATGAAAAAAAAATTGAGTAATTCTGAAACTCTGGTTGGAGTAAAAAAAAAAACACAGTTAATTTTTCCAGCATGATTTTTTTTTTTGTACAGGTCAATGGAATTGCAAGGGATTTCATACTGAGTGGTTTGAAGCTGAGTGATGGGGTGACTTACTATGTGACCCTCATTTCCTGTAATGGGGCTCAGATTTGTTCCTCAGCGACTACTCCAGGGATCCTGGTAGACAGTACCCCTCCAAATAGAGGTATACCAATATCTGTTATTTAGGTAGAACATGTATATGGGCATAACTGGGGACAAAATCGTAATATTCCAATCAAGATATTTTGTCCTACAGTTAGTAATGATTTAAAAAAAAAATATAGTGATTCAGACTTTAGCAACATTGTAATATCCAAAACCTTCAAAATTATATACCTATATAAATTTATACATGTATCAAACCATGTGATAAAAAAATCTTATTTCCAGGTATGTTTGCTATTGACACGGACCATGCAGCAGAGCTCAAGAGACCAGTGTCTGGGTGGATGACCTGGTCTCACTATATTGTTAAACTGGCCTGGCTGGGTTTTGCTGATCTACATTCAGATGTCACCCATTACTACATCAATGTTGGATCTACATATCTTGGAGCTGATTTAAATAAAGTAAGAACATGGAGATAATTTGTTTTAATGATAAAGGAGAAATTTGATTGGGGGGGGGGGGATTTTCATACAGGTAACAGCAAATGGCAGAATTTTAAGTGGACTGATCAACATTTGTAATCCATGTTTATAAAGTGCTGGCATTAAAATAATTTGAATGCATATTTTCAAAAGCATGACCTCATTATAACAAATTTTAAAGCTTGAAGGAGAAATTTGATGGGTTGATATTAGAATTGCCTATATTAAGATATGTTATCATTTGTTATGGAGAATACTAACTGAAAATTTTCTAAACCTCTCGAAGAATCCAGGAGTTGCCAAGAGAGTGGACCATTCCAATACTGGGGAGGACCGCTATGATGAGGGCAAAGTTCAGACTTATGAAATGGAGACCATTAAATTGGGCCCACAAATCCAGTTTCTATATATCAGTTTATGGGCAGTGAACAAGGTATAAATTTAGTGAAAGCATCTTTCTTCTGTCACCTCCCTCCTTTTTTTATACTTTGACCATTTTTGTTGGTATTTGATGCTCCTATTTACATTCAATATCAAGATACATGTATCAAATAAAAATTCGATTTTATACCCATTAAGAATTACTGTTACTTCCAGGTTGGTCTGTCCAGTGCTATAATTCACTCCAAGTTTGAGAAGATCCCAGGGGGATCGCTGTCATTGGTCCGTCGCTGTGAGGCGGAGACTTGCGAGGGTCACTGTGTGTGCGCGCCCCAAGATAAACGTTGCCCAAGTACAAACATATCCTGTAGTGATATTACAAATGGTAATAATTTCTACTCTTTCAGAAGCTTTGTATTTCTGTCATATTTAATTTTGTGCATGCAAGTTTTGTTTGATATTCAAAGAAGATCTATAGTAAAAACTTTAGATCAGATATGAATTACAAATGAAATGGTATTGAGCATAGCCATTGGAAAATTTTGTCCAAAATCATGCATTAATGATATTCAAGAAGGTATATCTTGATTAAGCAAAGAACCAAGATAAGATAAATTTCTTGTCACTGCTTTGTTGTAGGAAACACAAATAACCTGATACAAGTCAAAGATATTCAGCATGGTAGTGAAGATATCAATTTTACCCCTTCTAATGTGGTGCTTAAAGGACAATGGACAATTGTACACAGACAAGGGAACGCTCCAATGTGGTTAGTTTCTCCATCTTTTTATAGAATAATTCTTGTATTTATCAGGATAGAACTTAAGAGGTTTAAGACAAAATGAAATCCTTGAGCTGTGAAATGCAGTGTCTGTTAAATGTGTAAATTTAGATACATATTCATTTGCATTTAAGAAAGTTGTTGCAAAGTACAAAAGCTTTCTTAAAACATTTGACACCAACTGGGGAAGAGAGAGAGAGAAAGGGAAAATGTAAAAAAATAAATAAATAAATAAATGAAAGTTAACCCTCCAACAAACTCTCTTAAAACATTTGACATCAATTGAGAGAGAGAGAGAAATGTTAAAAAAATATAATAATAAATGAATAAATAAATGTAAATCAACCGTCCAACAAACTCTTTTTGGTCACAGTTAATACTCATTTTCCAAATTTTTGCACTGTCATGACAGAACATGTGTCTAGTCGATCAGTTTAAAAAGATTGACCAGTGCTTTTTAAATCCTGACTGTTGTACTGGTACTTCTTTCATTACTTTAAGCCTCGCTGATTAACAGAATCTTGATAGTGAATTGTTAGTTAGGTGAGCAGTGAGCCTCTAGTTTAATAAATGGGGAATTTCTCCAATCCAAGGGAAGTAGTCCAAAAGTGGGCAGTTTCAGCTGGCAGTATGTACTATATAGGGCTTAGCAATAATATCGATATTCCAGTATATTGCGATTTGTTAACAAAAAATATCGTATTGCGATACGTTTTTCCAGTACCGAATAAAATGCTTGGGCTTGGATTTTCAAAAGTAAAACAGGAAATTTAAAATGCCAGAAATGCTTTCAATCATGCCAAACAATAAGGTTGCTATTGTATGGTTGTATTTTGCTGCAAAACTGAAGTGAAATCAACAAGAACTTTTTTTTTGCTACAACGTATTTATAACACATATGTAGTTTTATTCACTCTGATTATAAATAAAGGTTAATAAAATAAGAAAAGAGCATTTTAATGGTATTAAAAATATTGCAATACATATTGCAATACAGTTTAAAATATTGCAATATATATCGCAATACGAAATTCCCATCCAATAGTCCCAGCCCTAGTACTATACTTGAGTGTGCACTATACAAGGAACATTTCAGCATACTGTTTAGACATAATTACAATGTGTATTTTCTTATGGATGAGTACCTGTAACATTATTTGTTGAAAGGTATCAGTGGAGTGTAGGATACCAGAACAGGGCGGCTCCAGAAGGAGTGTTTGATCAATCAACAGAGAGAGTTTGGCACGATGCTGGACAAAATATGGGAGTAATATTTACTACAAAATCAGGTAAAAATCATTTTAAAGAAAAAGGCTCATAATAACAAGAAGTAGATGTATTAAACAATTAATAAAAAAAGATTTATAGGGTTACTTTTGTTATTACATGTTATATTACTACATTTTAAAATATTGCTCCAATGATATTTCAGGTGTTTTTTTGACGAGTGATGCTCGTTACTCCATCTTTGTCCGTGTGTGGTATGATGACAAGAGCTATGCGGTGTTTAAATCTGACGGAGTTCAAATTACCACTATAAAACCCGCCACCACAACTATCAGGGGAAGTGCAGTAAGTCATTGTTAGCTTTGGATTTGGGTTCAAATTTTCCTACCATAATTGGGATACCAACATGGACTCTTTAAAACATTCTCAATTTCATATTTTACATTTTTTATACACATTTGATATTTTGTGAAGTTGATCTGGAAAGAGTAAAGGTTTTGGTGTTTCAAAATTGCATCTTGTTTGCATTTAACTTGCATTATTTAAAATAAATAATGCATCCTCTGCACATCATTAGGTAAGGGAGAGAATGCTCGGGAGTTGGATGAAGGACCAGGATTATATGAAGAGTGGTTTCCCTTTCATGGTGGAGTGGACTAATAAATACCTGGATGCGGAGAATTCCATTCAATCCTTCCGCCTATACCTAAGCACTTTTCCAGGAGGTAATATAAACTTGTGAAGGAATATTTGTCAAATATGAATTATATAAGTGTTAAAATGAGAATGATTTTTATATTGTCCTTCATTTCACAAAAAGGACATGATGTATGGGACAGTGGGTTGAACAATCCAGGGTCTACAACCTCCTTTGATATAAGAAGGGCTAAACTGACTCAGGGTGTGACATACTATAGTAACATCATTGCCTATGGATATTCTGGCCTTCATCACACAGAAACATCAGATGGATTTAAAACAGACAAATCTACCCCTGTCACTGGCTTGGTATTCGATGGTAAAAGCTTGCTAGACTTGGAGTTTCAGAGTTCTTCAACAGAGATGGGAGCTCGATGGCATGGTTTTTCAGATGTGGGATCTGGAATTCAGCAGTATTACTGGTGTGTAGGAAATACAAGTACTATTGCCTCTAGGCAGGAACTCACTGAGTGTTCAATACGAGCCTGGGAAGCTGTTGGTCTTCATATCTCAGTTTCCCAAAATCTGTCAGAACCACTCAAACAAGGTAAATTGGAGGCAATTTTATGGTCATATTTTATAAACTACAAGAAATAAACAGATCACCAACACATATTTTGTGTATGGAGAAAAATATTCCTGACCTTCATGATTTACAAAATGTTGATCAAGTGTTTTTATACATGTAATTTTGTACCACTGAATTTTGTTAAGACTGAGCAGTATTTTAAGACCATTTTCATAATAATTGAACTTGAAACACTTTTTCATCATGATAGATACCATTTTTTTTCAAGTCTGAAGGTCAAAGGCATCAATCTGTTATACACATGAAGGTTATTTAAAGAATAAGTGGATCCATGTATATTGTATAAACCTTTGTTATATTAGTCGCGTTTTACTTCAAAAATTTTTATGCCCCGCCATGAATATGGCCGGGGCATATAGTGTTTGTCATTTCCGTCCTTCCGTCTGTCTTTCCGTCAAGCTTTGCGTTTATCTCTGTTCAAAGCTCAGTTTCAAAGAAACTATCCAAGATATTTTTATCATACTTCATATTCTGATAGATATTGATGAGAGCTATGCAACTGCATCAACATTTTTTGATCTTGACCTTTCCTTTGACCTTGACCTCACTTTTCTTAAATTAGTGTTTAGCTCAAATTTAAAGATACCATTCAAGGTAGTGTAATCAAACTTCATATGTTGATACATACTGATGTAAGTTATTCAACTGCATCAACATTTTTTTACATTGACCTTTCCTTTGACATTGACCTCACTTTTCTTAAATTAGTGTTTAGCTTAGTTTTAAAGATACCATTCAAGATAGTTTAATCAAATTTCATATGCTGATACATACTGATGAGAGCTATTCAACTGCATCAATATTTTTTTTACCTTGATCATTCCTTTGACCTTGACCTCACTTTTCTTAAATTAGTGTTTAGCTCAGTTTTAAAGATACCATTCAATACAGTGTTATCAAATTTCATATGTTGATACATACTGATGTAAGCTATTCAACTGCATCAACATTTTTTGACCTTGATCATTCGTTTGACCTTGACCTCACTTTTCTTAAATTAGTGTTTAGCTCAGTTTTAAAGATACCATTCAATACAGTGTTATCAAACTTCATATGTTGATACATACTGATGAGAGATATTCAACTGTATCAACATTTTTTGACCTAGACCTTTCCTTTGACCTTGACCTCACTTTTCTTAAATTAGTGTCAAACTTCATATGCTGATTCATACTAATATAAGCTATTCAACTGCATCAATGTTTTTTTTACCTTTCCTTTGACCTTGACCTTACTTTTCTCAATTAGTGTTTAGCTCTGTTTTAATTAAACCATTCAAAATATTTTTATCAAACTTAAATATGCTGATAGGTATTTGTGAGAAGTATTCAACTGCATCAGAAACATTTGACCTTGAACTTTCCTGTGACCTTGACCTCACTTTTCTTAGATTTGCATTTTGCTTAATTTTAAAGAAACAATTTAAGATAAATTTATGTATGTGTATGCACTTATACATTATTTGGTGAGAATTTATCATCTATATCCAACTTTTTAGATTTCAGTTTCAATTTTAAAGAAATATTCAAGATATTCTCAACAAATTTCATACACTAATATAAATTTTCATGTTGCATTACTAATATACCCTAGGCAGGGCATTCATGTCCTATGGACATATTTCTAGTTTTCTAGTCTTTTTTTAAGGTTTTTATGTCAAACAGTTTCCAACTGAAAAGAATATTTTACAGGTAAAACCTATTACAATAAAGTATATGCCAAGGACAATGTTGGCTATAAATCCACGGTAGTAGTGTCAGATGGAGTGTCTATAGATACCACCCCTCCAGAGCCACAGTACATGTTCCACACAGGTATCAACCTCCTCTCAAATCCCTCTTTTGAGACCTCCCCCGGAGTTGTGATGGTGGACAATGTGAACACGACAAATATCTGTAATGAGACTCTGGACTATCACCCTGCTAACTGGACCCTTTCTTCACCTGGTTGTGCAGCAGTTGTAACCTCCAACAAAAATCTGGCCAGGGATAAAAGGTCATTTCTGTTTATTAGAGGGAGTGTCACACAGCTGCTGAGTGGATTAGTGGTCGGAGCTCTCTATAGACTGAACTTTTTTACAAGTCATCTGTTAATTAGCAGTTCCACTCAGTCAAATAAGGAGGGGTTTGCCAAGTTAGGGGACAAGAAGCATGTTTTCTTTATCTACACTAAAGCTTATAGAGGGGATGAACATGGTAAAGCTGAATCAAGAGACATTATTTCATGGCACAGACACACGTTCTACTTCACTGCACAGAAAGATTCAACTAATCTGACAGTAGGGAGTGTGGATGAGAAAACTGGGATATTTATTGATCACTTGACACTGGAACACGTGGAAAAGAAAAAGAACAGAACAGATGGTACTGATGTCCAAGCTCATGTGGTTTACCTTCATGAATGGGGCTCAGTTCATGGCTTTTGGAACTTTGTGGAGGATGTCAGTCCTATTACTGAATACATGTGGGCTATAGGTAAGCGTTCAAATGAAGTGGTGCATTTTGGGGAGGAACTAAGTCAAATAAAAATTAATTTGATTAAATCTTGCTATGGATTAAAATTATTCTAGAAGGTTTTTTTGAATAAGGTTTTGACTGCATGTGGAATCATATTTATTAGTACATATATACCTATACTGGCTATAAAAAACAAATCTTCAACAAAACATAATGCAAAGTAATTCCTTTAAAAAAAAAAATCTTTCTTTCCAAAATATGAATCCATCAAATTAAAAGAAAATTAGTTAAATTTCATAATTCAATGGAATCACAATTTCTGTTAATTCCATGGGTAGAAAATGACACAGATTTTATATACCTTTAATTTACGCTGAAAAATTATGACCACATACATATCGTGAATAAATGCCACATGGAAAAAGTACTTTTAGAGTATTTTCAAAATTAACAATATGGAAATACATGCATCATGATGAAAAAATTTATATCAGAATGCTTTATGCATATTTCAAATTTGTGTAGTGAATTATGGCTCATATTTTCTATGTTCAGTTTTTGATGGCATAATTAAATATTTTTTGTACAGGGTATACACAAGGGGGAACTCAGCTACAAGGGTTTGAGAGTGTGGGCCTGAGTAATTTTGCCTACAATTCAACAGTGACCTTGGTCCACAATTCTTACATCTATGTGACAGCACTAGCCATTAATGCAGTTGGTTTACAGGGAATAGCTTACTCAGAAAAAATTCTTGTGGATCTTACTCCACCTGATATTGTTGGGGTCTACGATGGAAGGCTCAGAAGTAAGTCTAAAATTCCCAGTGGACAAATAGGCTAAATAACCCATATACAAGGGATCAGACATTTTATGTATTCTTAGAATAAAAATGTACATTTGGGGGAATTTTTTTAAGTAAATAGCTAAGGTTTACTAAATGAACACCAAGTAAAATGTTAATACATGTAATAAATGATATTATATACAGACGACTCGGTAACTTGAAGGTAACAAAATGCATAAAAAATTTGCGAGATGGGAGGATTCAAGATATCACAAATCCTAATACTGGTAGTTTGACAATGCCTGTTTAAAATTCAGATTTCTAGAAGTAAGATTTACACACCAATGAATCTAACTGGAATTAAAACATTTCAGAGGAGGACCAGAGAGCCTGGACTGATGCCGAGGTGGCAGTTAACTGGGATGCTAGCGACCCAGAGTCAGGAATAGCTTACTGTGAATGGGCCATTGGTAAGTTGTTAACTGGGATATTAGCTACCCAGAATCAGGAATACTGTATGTTTACTTAAAAAAGCGGGCTTCATATTTCAGCAGCTTTGGCGCAAACAACGATTCGCTAATTCATGAATACCGCTAAGAAATTATTTATAAGTACAATATATGGCTTGGACATGTATAGCGCTAATTCATGGTTTCGCCAACAACTCCATACCCAGTGATTGCGCTAAATTTTGAATATGCCAATTTATGTACACGTACAGTAGCTTACTGTGAATGGGCCATTGCTAACTTGTTAACTTGGATGTTAGCAACCCAGAATCAGGAATAGCTTACTGTGAATGGGCCATTGGTAAGTTGTTAACTTGGATGTTAGCAACCCAGAATCAGGAATAGCTTACTGTGAATGGGCCATTGGTAAGTTGTTAACTTGGATGTTAGCAACCCAGAATCAGGAATAGCTTACTGTGAATGGGCCATTGGTAAGTTGTTAACTGGATGTTAGCAATCCAGAATCAGGAATAGCTTACTATGAATGGGCCATTGGTAAGATTGGTAAGTTAGTGGCCCAGAATCAGGAATCAGGAATAGCTTACTGTGAATGGGCCATTGGTAAGTTTTTAACTGGGATATTAGCTATCCAGAATCAGGAATAGCTTACTGTGAATGGGCTATTGGTAAGTTGTTAACTGGGATATTAGTAATCCAGAATCAGGAATAGCTTACTGTGAATGGGCCATTGGTAAGTTGTTTACTGGGATTTTAGCTACCCAGAATCAGGAATAGCTTACTATGAATGGGCCATGGGTAAGTTGTTAACTGGGATGTTAGCAACCCAAAATCAGGAAAAGCTTACTATGAATGGGCCATTGGTAAGATTGGTAAGTTAGTGGCCCAGAATCAGGAATCAGGAATAGCTTACTGTGAATGGGCTATTGGTAAGTTGTTAACTGGGATATTAGTAATCCAGAATCAGGAATAGCTTACTGTGAATGGGCCATTGGTAAGTTGTTTACTGGGATTTTAGCTACCCAGAATCAGGAATAGCTTACTGTGAATGGGTCATTGGGAAGTTGTTAACTGGGATATTAGTAATCCAGAATCAGGAATAGCTTACTATGAATGGCCCATTGGTAAGTTGTTTACTGGGATGATAGCGACCCAGAATCAGGAATAGCTTACTGTGAATGGGCCATTAATATGTGACTAAATAATGATGAAATCTTTCATTGAAATAACTGTAATTTAATAAATTTCCTAGATAGGGAAAAGGTATAGTGGAAATAAATATACCACTGATTTTGTAGACATCTGACTGAAGTAAGATTCTAAGAGTTGAATGGGTCCCATCAGCATGTCAGTATTGAAGACAGTCAGAGGAGTGTGTACAGACTCAACAAGTTATATGTATATGTATGATTTATTAGCTCACCTGAGCTGAAAGCTCAAGTGAGCTTTTCTGATCACATTTTGTCTGTAGTCCGTCTGTCTGTAAACTTTTCACATTTTTGACTTCTCCAGAACTACTGGGCCAATTTCAACCAAACTTGCCACAAAGCATCCTTGGGAGAAGGGGATTCAAGTTTATTCAAATGAAGGGCCACACCTCATTCAAGGGGAGATAATTCAGAAATAGTGAAAATTTGTTGGCATATTTTAAAAATCTTCTTCTCAAGAACCACTGGCCCAAAAAATTTTAAACTTACAGGAAACCATCATTACATAGTGTAGATTCAAATTTGTTCAAATCATGACCCCCAAGGGTAGGGTGGGGTCACAATGGGGGATCAAAGATTTACATAGAAATATGTAGGAACACTGATGCCCCCGTATGGCAGCAAATGGTGAAGGTTAAGGTTTTTCAAATGCAAGGATTACATCAAAATCCAGGCCAAAAGATAAAAAATGTTAAATTTGAAAGCCCTAGCTGCAACTGTTCAAAAGTTATGGCGAAGGTTAAAGTTTTTTAAAAGTAAGTAAAACATCAAGGTCAAGGTCAAAGTTGTTGGTATCCAAAGGAAGGTCTTGTCACAAGGATTACATATGTACAGTATGAAAGCCCAAGCACCAACCATTCAAAAATTATGGCCAAGGTTAAAGTTTTTCAAAAGTAGGTCAAACTCCTAGGTCAAGGTCAAAGGGTCAAAGAGGTTGATATCCAGAGGAAGGTCTTATCACAAGGAATACACATGAGAAGTTTGAAACCCCAAGCACCAACTGTACAAAAGTTATGGCCAAGGTTAAAGTTTTTCAAAAATAGGTCAAACTCCTATGTCAAGGTCAAAGGGTCAAAGTGGTTGGTATCCAAGGGAAGGTGATGTCACAAGGATTACATATGTGAAGTATGAAAGCCCTAGCATCAACCATTCAAAAGTTATGGCCAAGGTTAAAGTTTTTCAAAAGTAGGTCAAACTCCTAGGTCAAGGTCAAAAGTTCAAAGTGGTTGGTATCCAAAGGAAGGTGATGTCACAAGGATATACATATGTGAAGTATGAAAGCCCTAGCTCTAACCATTCAAAAGTTATGGCCAAGGTTAAAGTTTTTCAAAAGTAGGTCAAACTCCAAGGTCAAGGTCAAAGGGTCAAAGTGGTTGGTATCCAAAGGAAAGTCTTGTCACAAGGATTGCATATGTGAAGTATGAAAGCCCTAGCATCAACCATTCAAAAGTTATGGCCAAGGTTAAAGTTTTTCAAAAGTAGGTCAAACTCCAAGGTCAAAAGGTCAAAGTTGTTGGTATTCAAAGGAAGGCCTTGTCACAAAGAATACACATGTGAAGTTTAAAAGCCCAAGCACCAACTGTTCAGAAGTTATGGCCAAGGTTAAAGTCTCATAAAATTTTGCTAAAGTGGGTCAAACTCTAAGGTCAAGGTCAAAAGGTCAAATATGATGGTACCCAAAGAAAGGTCTTGTCACAAGGAATACAAATGTGAAATATGAAAGTCATAGCTCCAACCAATCAAAAGTTATGGGCAAGGTTAAAGTTGACAACAGACAAACAGATAAACAGACAAACAGACAGACAGGACAAAAACAATATACCCCCGGGATCTTTCGATCCGGGGCATAAAAAATCTTAAAAAATCTTCTTCTCAAGAACAGCAAAGCCATGTTTAGTCATATTGATATGGAAGCATCCTCAGGTAGTGTAGATTCAAAATTGTTCAAAAGATGACCCCCGGGGGTAGAGAGGGGCCACAATGGGGTATCAAATTTTTACAAAGGAATATATAGGAAAAAATCTTTAAAAATCTTCTGCTCAAGAACAGCAAATCCATTTGTTATTGATATGGAAGCATCCTCAGGTAGTTTAAAATTCAAGTCCCCCCCCCCCCCCCCCACTCCGATGTAAACTTTTCAATACTGAACTAATTTGTGTTCTTTCCTTGCCAATGTGCTCAGGTGAGCGATGTGGCCTCTTGTTTAAGGAATGTTTTTAAGTTTTATGTGAGCTATTGGTGTGTAAATCACACAGACTTGTCACATAGGCATATTTCATGAAGCCTGCTAGCGCTTCATGAAAAATATGCCTACGTGCAAGTCTGTGTGATTTACACACCAATAATTGACACCTAACTTAAAAACATTCCTTATATTTACATTTAACATGTTTGAAACCACCAAAAATATACTCAGCGTTTGAATTATTTGCTGCCTTATATCGTTACATTTTTAGTAATGTCTCTGTAGCCTCATTGTGACGTCACTTTAGCAAGAGTTTCTCCGTGCATATTTCTACGTGTGAGTATACACGAAAATGGCATTCAAATCAATTCCACAGTTGGCTTAGTAGAAAAACACAGCAAATGTGAATATATACATGTATGTATGACTGACAGACTGATCACTGGATGGATGTGCTTCAATATTGATCCAAGTTTCTTGCTCAGAATTCCAGGTGACAGGTCTGTGTTTAAGAGGATGCTCAGTATTCTTTGTGACACATACCGTATTAATTCGTACTTTACCTATGGATGCCTGCAGTGATCTTTTAATAAGTTTCATGGTCATTTCCAAACATAAGATCAAAAAGTCTGAGTATTAACTCCTCTTTCACAGTATACTTAATATGTTTTCATATATGATCTCCCCTTGGCCCAATCTGCTTCCTACCATAACAATGGAGAACACTATTGGCAAAATTTTACAACTTATGTTGTTAATTTTGACAAAAATTAATGATATCCTCTCATGCAGGTACCCAACCCCAGGGAGTGGAGTTGCAGGTCTTTGAAAAAGTTCCTAGTGGTGTGACGTCAGCCTTCAGAGATTTTGATTATAGCGTGTTACAGGGAAAAACTATCTACACAAGTCTACGCTGTGAAAATAATGCTGGTCTTCTCAGCTCCAAATCTTCTAATGGAGTGAAGATATCAAACCAGCCTCCATCTGTGACTAGTGCTGTAGTGGAACCAGTCCCCCAGTCTGTTACAGAATACAAGGCCAGGGCCAACTATCAGAGTGTCACAGATAACATCAGACTTAGATGGTCTGGATTCAGTGATCATATTGGTGTTGAACAGTACAAGGTAAAACAAAAATTGTTCTCTTGTTAAAGAAAGTGTCATGTTTTTATTTTTGTATATTTCAAAGATATTGATTATACATATACAATGAAATAAGAGGGTTGACCTTTCTGTTCTTACTGGAACCAGATCGTCTGTAAAAAATGTTTGTTTGCCAGCTCCCAACTCAAAATAAAAAAAAAATGGGTGGGTAGGTAGGGAAAAAATAAATTCGGAGAAATTTTTATTATCAGTGCTTAATTTTCAACATTTATTGAAATTGAAGGTATTAATAAAATAGTTTTTGGCAGGATGATAAAATTCCGCAACGACTTAAAAAGTCGGGGGGGGGGGGGGTTAAAAAAATTGAGTCGTGCCATTTTTAAAGTCAGCTGGGAGAGGGCAAACAGACAATTTTTAGCTCACCTGAGCTGAAAGCTCAAGTGAGCTTTTCTGATCACCCGTCCGTCGTCCGTCCGTCCGTCCGTCCGTCTGTAAACTTTTCACATTTTCAACTTCTTCTCAAGAACCACTGGGCCAATTTTAACCAAACTTGGTACAAAGTATCCTTGGGGGAAGGGGAGTTTAAATTGTTAAAATAAAGGGCCAAGTCCCCTTACAAGGGGAGATAATCAAGAAAAGACAAAAATAGGGTGGGGTCATAAAAAAATCTTCTTCTCAAGAACCACTGGGCCAGAAAAGCTGAAACTTATATAGAAGCATCCTGGGATAGTGTAGATTCTAAATTGTTCAAATCATGACCCCTGGGGGTAGGGCGGGGCCACAGTAGGGAATCCAAGTTTTACATTGAAATATATAGGAAAAATCTTGAAAAATCTTCTTCTCAAGAACCACTGAGCAAGAAAAGCTGAAACTTATATGGAAGCATCCTGGGATAGTGTAGATTCTAAATTGAAAAAAATTATGACCCCCGGGGGTAGGGCGGGGCCACAATAGGGAATCCAAGTTTTACATTGAAATATATAGGAATAATCTTGAAAAATCTTCTTCTCAAGAACCACTGGGCCAGAAAAGCTGAAACTTATATAGAAGCATCCTGGGATAGTGTAGATTCTAAATTGTTAAAATCATGACCCCTGGGGGTAGGGCGGGGCCACAGTAGGGAATCCAAGTTTTACATTGAAATATATAGGAAAAATCTTGAAAAATCTTCTTCTCAAGAACCACTGAGCAAGAAAAGCTGAAACTTATATGGAAGCATCCTGGGATAGTGTAGATTCTAAATTGAAAAAAATTATGACCCCCGGGGGTAGGGCGGGGCCACAATAGGGAATCCAAGTTTTACATTGAAATATATAGGAATAATCTTGAAAAATCTTCTTCTCAAGAACCACTGAGCCAGAAAAACTGAAACTTATGTGGAAGCATCCTGGGATAGTGTAGATTCTAAATTGTAAAAATCATGACCCCCGGGGGTAGGGCGGGGCCACAATAGGAAATACAAGTTTTACATTGAAATATATAGGAAAAATCTTTAAAAATCTTCTTCTCAAGAACCACTGAGCCAGAAAAGCTGAAACTTATGTGGAAGCATCCTGGGGTAATGTAGATTCTAAATTGTTCAAATCATGACCCCCGGGGGTAGGGCGGGGCCACAATAGGGAATCCAAGTTTTACATTGAAATATATAGGAAAAATCTTGAAAAATCTTCTTCTCAAGAACCACTGAGCCAGAAAAACTGAAACTTATGTGGAAGCATCCTGGGATAGTGTAGATTCTAAATTGTAAAAATCATGACCCCCGGGGGTAGGGCGGGGCCACAATAGGAAATACAAGTTTTACATTGAAATATATAGGAAAAATCTTTAAAAATCTTCTTCTCAAGAACCACTGAGCCAGAAAAGCTGAAACTTATGTGGAAGCATTCTGGGGTAATGTAGATTCTAAATTGTTCAAATCATGACCCCTGGGGGTAGGGCAGGGCCACAGTAGGGAATACAAGTTTTACATTGAAATATATAGGAAAAATCTTGAAAAATCTTCTTCTCAAGAACCACTGAGCCAGAAAAGCTGAAACTTATGTGGAAGCATCCTGGTGTAGTGTAGATTCTAAATTGTAAAAATCATGACCCCCGGGGGTAGGGCGGGACCACAATAGGGAATCCAAGTTTTACATTGAAATATATAGGAAAAATCTTGAAAAATCTTCTTTTCAAGAACCACTGAGCCAGAAAAGCTGAAACTTATGTGGAAGCATCCTGGGGTAATGTAGATTCTAAATTGTTCAAATCATGACCCCTGGGGGTAGGGCGGGGCCACAATAGGGAATACAAGTTTTACATTGAAATATACAGGAAAAATCTTTAAAAATCTTCTCAAGAACCACTGGACCAGAAAAACTGAAACTTATGTGGAAGCATCCTGGGGTAGTGTAGATTCTAAATTGTTCAAATCATGGCCCCTGGGGGTAGGGCAGGGCCACAATAGGTATTACAAGGGGGGAAGTCTGGTAATGAACAGTATGGCCAAAGTTACTCAGGTGAGCGATGTGGCCCATGGGCCTCTTGTTAATGACTCAGGTGACCTATTGCTATCTGTTTTTGTCATTCATCATGTTAACATTTGAACATTTTCAGCTTCTATTCTGGAACCGCTGAACCAATTTCAACCAATTTTGATATATAGCATCTACGGGTGAAAGAAAACATAAATTTGACTTTCATGGTCCCTGCTGCCTCTCTCCCCTTTGAGGGGTGTTGGTAAAACCATCAAAATTAATGCAATCTTTAAAAATTGTTTGGCAAATTGTTGCCATGATTGTATGAATCTTTTCTGCTCCTGGGTGTTGAGCAGATAAAAACTAAGTGCATAGCTATAATGAGCAGAAGTGCCTTTTTCAAAATTGTAATTCATAGACCCTGAGTCAGGGGTACTGGTCTTGGGGCAGGGATCTATAGATCAGAATGCATTAATTCTTTGAAAATCTTCTTTGCTCCTAGGTATTTAGAATACAAACTTACTGCATAGTTATGATGACCAATAGTGCTTCTTCCAAAATCGTAAAATTCATGGCCCCTGAGTCAGAAGTTCTGGAGTTAGGGCAGGGCTCTTTTGATCGTATAGTGAAAATGTGTTACATGTAATTCTCTGAAAAGTCCTTTTTCCTGCTTTTGAGTATTCAGCAGAAAAACTCAAGTGCATGGTTATGTTGAAAAAAAGTGTTTTTATTGAAAATTGTGAAATTCCTGGCCTCTGAGACAAGAGTTCTGGAGTTAGGGAGGGGCTATGTTATGATCATGCATGTTTTACTCTGCTTTAAGAGAAGTTATTCCCCTTTGTTTTTTTACATATGATAATAATGTCATTGATAGGTAAATTGAATAAAAGATTTATGCACAGATTTTCAATATATTATATAATAAAATTTCAATATATTATATTAAAAGTGCTTTCATGTTTTTCTTAGTTAGGTAAATTTGTATATAATAGATGAATAAAAATGAAACAAAAATATTTTATTTATGTACATTTAAATATTATTCAAAGACCAAGAGAGGTCAATATGTGACAAGGATTGTGCTGGGTGTACTCTGGAAACATTGTGTTTTATGTTTAAGCACTATTGTAATGTGTGGTGATAGTGATGGAGTGTAGATAAGCACTGACATATACAGGCAAGTTTCTTGAGTAGACAATTTTGTTGAGCCCTGATAATCCTGTTTCTTTCAGTTTATTTTGTATTGATTTATGATTATTTACCACTCCATGGATTCAGCATTGTATTATACTCAGGTGACCATTAAGGCTCCTGGGCCTTTTGTTTAAAGATGACCTCATCCAATATCTCTCATTAATTTGATCTTTTATATCTTAATGTGAAGATATCAATCCAAGAAAACAACTTCAATTTGGTGGAGAAGATGCCATTCCCAGAAGGACAGAATATTTTGTCTACTAGTGTGAACAATTTGACCTTGACCTCAGGTTATATAAACATCACGACCCAGGCTGTCAGTGAACTGCTCCTCACCAGTGACAAGGTCAAGTCAGACATCACAGTATTTACTGACAAACCTGTCAAACATGGTAAGTTGCTTATTTTTTCACTTGCATACTGCACATGTACTTGAGTCACAAAATTTGTTAATTTGAAACCACACCTTTGTCTTAACAACCATTTCATATCCTTAAAACATGCATCATTCAAAGAATGTGTGGGACTGATAACTGTCAATTTGTTTATTGATCTAATGTCAATGTCAATGTGACAAGAATAAGTAATATACATTTTATCTTTTCATATTTAGCAACAAGCCAGATGACAGTCACTTGGCATGCGGGGAATAAACAGTTTACAGTATCCTGGGATGGAGTCTTCAGCTCTCCCCACTCTCTGTCTTACGAGGTATCAGCTGGGAAGGTGATTGGTGGAGGAGAGATCATCCAATGGCAGGAGACAACACAGACTAGCATAACATTTGGCCTACCTCCGGCTATCACCAGCTGGTCTCGTCTGAAGGTGTACGTCATGGTCAGGGCTGTAGCAGCAGGAGGAGAGTACGAGGACACAATGGGGGTTATAACATTACCTCCATAATGTCATCAGCGGGAAAAACAATATCACTACAAGTGCTTACTTATCAACAGTTGTTATTATACACATCTGCATGCACAGTCATAAAAATGAGAATTTGCACTGAAAAAAACTTCTGTTAGCAATAGGGAAAAATTCTGAGATCATAAAATATTTTGGAATACTGTGAAGCCTTACTTAAAAGATGAATACTAGTGTTGTTAAAGATAGCTTGGGGTGGATATTTAAAATTTTGTAGGAATATTTGCATGATCATCTGCTTTTATCTTCACTTTCAAATGGGTATTTTAAGGATGAATTTTACTTTTTAAAATTTCTTGCTCAAATCGTTTTCATTTATGTTGTTTGATGATCTTTTCTCTTTGTTTTACTGTGGAAATTGTTTACTATCACTGAATCAAATATAATAGTACCATTATTTTTGTGTATGTTTAAAGCATTTAGTACAAAATCTGTGACTTACAATCTAATAGCTCTTTTCACAAAAATCGATCTTTAAATTGAGATTTTGTGTAAGATTCTCTTTAGAAAAATTTAAAGTGCTTTTCCTAAAGGCATCCATAACAGATTGAACTTAAGAACTCACTTAAGAAATTTCTTCTATAGCAACAGTGTCAGTACACTTTATTATCCTCACAAAAAAAGTGGATAAAAATGAAAAAAAAAATCTCCACCAGCAAGGAAAAAAAGAGACCACAAATATTTGAGTGCATTAAAGTTAGTAATCTGATGTCACGATCATGTCTGACATAAATTTTGGATCAGAAGAAAATTTTAGGAAAAACAATTATTGTTAATATCTTGCAGAATGTTTCATTTAATCAAAAATTAGGAGATAATGTAACATTGTAGGGTGCATAAGAAATTTTGAATAACCGTATTTTTTTTCCAAGAAATAGACAAAAAGTCGCAAGTATGTGCTTGACTATTCATATTTGTACTATGGACTATTAAAAAGGCAATCCAAATCAAATATTGTTTAAACATTGCTGCTTTTGAACACTTCAAATCAAAACATGTATTTCCATTGTTTGAGAAACTGTATATATACAACTTAGTGTGTGGTGAGGCATGGATAACTATGATTGTTTCACATTGTGCTGAATTATTACCAATCAACTGTTACATGTACGTAAACCATACTTGACCTTTATAATTTAATTCAAGAAGTAACTGTGTGGTCACAAATTAATTGCTTTATATAGCCCCAAAACGCTTAGAACTTTTGTGTTCATTCTCATAAGGAGATGCAATTTGGTGAGTGATTTTTTTCATGCATTGTTTTCAGAGGTATTCAAAATTGAAAACTTTCACTGCAACAAAGTGCAACTTTTTTTACATGCAGATAAAAACTTCACGTGTTAGAGAAAAGTGTGACAAAATAGCTACCGGTAAATCAAGCTTTTTTGAATAGTCAATTCAAGCTTTATAGCTAAATCAAGAGATTGTGCTGGACCTATTAGATACAATGTTTGCATTGCTTGTTTCCTATTGTTATCAACAGATACTCATCACTGATATAACCCCTGCAAACGAAGTTTAGGGGATTGTATTGGAATCATCCTGTCTGTCTGTAGATATGATTTTGTCTGGAATGTTCTTAGAGACTACGGTATGGATTTGTCTGAAAATTTGTGCAGTATGTTGCTATTCACCATATAAAGATGTGCACCTGGTATTTTTATCATGATTGGATAGTTTTTATTTATTTCACAGGTGGGTTTTTTTTTCATTATTTTGGGTTCATGCTGATTTCAGACATAGAATCAAGAAACTGTCATTTGGTACATTTGACAAAAAATGTGAATTGCAGCTTAATAACTTTTTAATATTGGTGATATTAAGTTTTAATGACTGGGGCCCATTTTACAAAAGAACTTACGACTGACATATGATTAGTATTTTGATGTTTCATTAGGCTGTGGCTTAGTTCATCATTCATTAGAAAATACAATGAGCAATTAAATAGACTGTCAATGTAAGCAAATTGTGAACACCTATAGATCCATAAAACACTTTTAGTGATTTGGTACCTATTCTGAAAAACCCATTTGGGGGTATTTGTCCAATTTGGACAGTTTAAGTTACTCTTTCTGTGATATATTTTTGTTTAAAGAATAAAAACCTGAGTACTGCTGTTTACCTCTGTTTATAGATACACCCAGATAATGATTTTAATAATAATTAAAATGCTTTGTGCCAAGTTTTGTTGTATCTAGCACAGAGTTGTTCTGGGGAACTAAAAATTATGAAGAGCAAACAGATGACAGCCAAACTTCAAGCTTTTGGAACATCTGAGCTAAAAAGGAAATGGGTATGACCCCACTGATTCCATTTATCATTATAATAAAACCTATTTACCCATAAAATATTGGAGACACTGGCAAGGGATGGATGCGTTGTTTGACATAAGAAGGATAAAAATCCGAAACTGCTTCAATATTTTATTTACTATGGCACCCTATCAGCAAGGAGACTTCACTGGCAGATTTAGAGCCCCCCCCCCCCCCCCCTTTGTGTCCAAAAATATACATAAGATTAATAATTCAATAATTGTTGCATTAATTATACATAAAGAATAGCTAAAATAAATTTAAAAAAATTGTTCCATAAAACTAAAACCTGAGAGCTTCGGGGGGCTGGGCTCCCATCCCAGTCCCTTCCCCACCCACCCCCTTTGAAGAATCCTGGATCTGCCAATTGGAATCATTTCATAACTTGAATGCACACAATTTGGAGGATCCATCAATATCATAAACATGGCTGTCTATTCTAGAAATTGGTGTTTTTGATCTGTATACAATCATAAGATAAATTTGATCCCCGATTTTAGCCCCAATCCCCAGGGTCCATAATTAGAAAAAACATAGATAATCAAAGATTACAGAGCTCACCTCAATGAATGTTGTTTATGTAAGGCAAAGTCCCACATTAAACTTCTAATCTTAGTAGTGTACATTCCAAAATGGAACATTTAAGCATGTTTGCTCTGATAAGACTTGCAGTTACTTGGGAATGAACTTATCCAAAAACTTCAAACTAGTCACTCATTCAGAAAATTGATTCATATCAAGCATCTGAAGCAAGTTTAAAGAGAGTTCATCCCTTGATGCATCATCCCTGCAAGTTTTTTTCAGATAGGTCTTTAAATTTCTTGGTAAAAAATTAAACTTGTTCACTCATCTGGAAAATGTAGGTCAGATCAAGCATCCAAAGCAAGCCTGGTAGTGTGCATCTTTAGATGTATGCAAGTTTGGTCAAAATAGGGCTTATAGATACTTTATAATGAACCTACTCCAAAAACTTTAAACTTGTCACTCATCTGGAAAACGTAGGTTAGGTTCAGCATCCTTAAATGTACCATCCATTCAAATTTGGTCAACATAGGGTTTATATAATTACTTTAGAATGAACCTGCTCCAAAAACTTTAACCTTGGCACTCATCCGGAATATCTAGGTCAGATCCAGCATCCGAAGCAAGCCAGGTAGAATGCATTCTTAGATTATCATCCATGCAAGTTTGGTCAACTTGGGGCTTATAGTTACTTGGAAATGGGACCTGCTTCCAGAAACTTAAACCTGCTCCAAAAAACCTTAACCTGCTCTAAAAACATTAAACCTGGTCATTCCTTTGCTGAAATTGCAGCATCTGAAACCTTGAATGGTACAATGAAACACACTAGAAGTATCTTCTATGTATCTCTGATTAATATAGGGCATAGAAGTACTTAGTAAGAAAACTACACCAACAAGCATTCTGAGAGTATTGCGTTAGCAATACTAGTCCCCTACCGGCATGTGTATTCTGGTTCCCGTTAAAAATTGAAAATGCCATTATTCCGTCAAAAATCAATGAAGCGGATCGAAATGCAAACTTGGTCTGTACACTCGCATACCAAAAATCAGCTCAACATCTGCAAGCGTTTAGAAAAAAAGTGCGGAAAACCAAATGGGACAGACAGACGGACTCAGAGGAAACCTATAGTCCCCTCCAGTTTCACCGGTAGGGGACTAAAAACTTTAACCTGGGATGTTGATGACGAGGGTATCACATAAGCTCCCCCCAAACTTCGTTAAGGTGAGCTAAAAATGAATCAACACAGCTTGGGAATGTTGCATATTACTGCAATTTACCATTACCTGCTTCTCTTGAAAGCAATTTTGGTTTATATTAAAATTCTATTTCCATGTAAAGTTTTGATTCCCTTTTATTGGGAAATCATACCCCTGGAGGACAAGATTTGAACAAACTACTCGTCTTTTTAAAGATTTTTTTATATATACACCGCCCCCCCCCCACTTGAAAAGCTGGGGTGTATAGTGATGGGGATGTCCGTCCTTACGGTTGGGGGTACTCATGTCTTATCCGCAACTCCTCTTACACCACTGAATAAAAGTTAATGACACTTTCACTAAATCTTTGTTACATAGTTTCATTGTGCGCCTCCTGTATTACTTTTTTGATCGGACATGTATTTCGGGTTTCTCATAGCAAAACATAGACATTGCCATTCTTTCTATAATACTGGGGGTACCCATCTCTTATCCGCAACTCTTCCTATACCTAATGATACCTTCATAAAATCTTTATTACACAGTGCTATTGGGCTTTGTTACAACGTTCTTTGAAAAATTACGCACATTGAAATTTTTTTCAAAGTGCGTTAAATTTGGGATCAAGTTAACGCACTATGAAAAAAATTTCCAAATGCATTAATATCAACCATATTTACGCACTTTGAAAAAAAATGTGCAAGGCTTGGTCAATATTCTTGCAAATTTAAGGTATGATAAATAATTATTTGAACCTGGTTGCATAACTTTCGGTGATGACGTCACTTCGGATCTGAGATATAGAAGTTTGGTGTTTTGTTCCCAAAGGTTCTCGTAGATGTTATAAAAGGGAAATGGGTCTTTTATAAATATTGGAGGGACAAGATTCAGCGCCGGGTGTGCCCCCCCCCCACCCCCGTTTGAATTTGTTGTATGTAGAACTTGTATGTTCATTATCCTAAAATCAAGGAAAAATCACCTGTTATTTGTAAGAGTTCGTCAGCTTCCGGGGGCTTCGCCCCAGTCCCCCATCACTTTGCCCTGGACCCACTGGGGGCTTCATTACAGCCCCAAGACTTCCTGCCTTCTACTGCGACCCCCCCCCCCCCCCCCCGTTATGAAATTCCTAGATCCGCCACTGAAAAGGTCATTAGTTATTTGATTTTTATGACAATGACATAAATGGACTTTCAAGTTTAAAAGAACTAAAATTCAATGTACCCACCGGTACTAAGGACTTTCCTATACTTTTTACTGTATTTTACTGTATTTAGAATTTTCTTGTTCTTTTTATGCCCCCGTATCGAAGATTCGGGGGTATATAGTTTTTGCCCTGTCTGTCTGTTTGTCCGCAAAAACTTTAACATTGCCCATAACTTTTGATTGGCTGAGGCTATGGATTTCATATTTCACATGTGTATTTCCCGTGACAAGGCCTTTCTTTGAGTACCATCAAATTTGACCTTTTGACCTTGACCTTGGAGTTTGACCCAGTTTTGCAAAATTTTACTGAACCTTATCCTTGGCCATAACTTTTGAATGATTGGAGCTAGGGCTTTCATATACTTCACATGTGTAATTCTTGTGACAAGAACTTTCTTTGGATACCATCGACTTTGTATGCTTATTGAAAATAATTTTACCGCCTAATACGATGGTCTTTTTATAGTTATTTGATAAGTACATGTACATATAATTTAGTTTTTGATATATTGATTTTTGAGTCCTGGAAATTTTAAATAGAAGTCTATTATATCAAGAGCAGCAAAAAGAGATATTTGTGAACCATTAGGGCAAGAAAAGTTATCAGCGGCATACTGGAATAACTTATGTCCCTTATTATCTATACCACTATAACTTTTATATCTTTATTCTGTTTAACTAAAATTGCCATAATTTCTGCAAATGATATAAATAAAGATGGAGAAACGGGACCACCTTGTCTGCAATCTCTGTTTATCAAACTGATTAGATAAAAATCCACTTTGTAAAACAAAAGCTTTAAGGACCCTTTCCTTACCAGTGCAAAATGTTTTTTGGACACTGAGAAAATTATACTGTATAAATGTGTAAATATTGAGCTTATCTATTTATAATTTTTAATATATGGTACGTGACATTTACCCCCAGGAAAAATGTTCAAAGACAACAAAGTATAACTGTAGTAGATGCATATTTTAATAAGTAATTTAATAATTGATAAATAAATAAAATAAATTTAAAATAGTTAAATAAATAAATAAAATCTTAAGTCTTTCTATTACCAATAAAGTATTAAGTTATACCACCCATCCCTTTAGATCTACCTACACATTTCTATTTTCATACCTACACTCATTCATTGGTTGTACACTTGCTTTCTATTGGTCAAGAGTTTTTACATTGTCCAGGGTGAATATTACTCAGATTTAAATTTCATAGTCATGTAGACATGCAGAAGGTTTTCTTGTGAATTACTGAATTTATTGAAATCTACAGTATTGTAATTATATTTCCTGACATTAAATTCCTGGACAGAGACAGAAATGTAAGTACTAATATTTTAATCTAATTAATTAGAATAAGATATACATGAGAAACTAAGAATTTGTTACTTGGTAAAAATTATGTGTATAGAATATTTTATACCTATGATTAAATCAGATATGGATAAATCTGATATTTCTATTAAGTTTAATATATCAAGATCCTAATAAATATGTATATGGATAAATATTTTTATAAGAAATATTTTGGAGTTTCTTTGTAAATACATAGTTTTTGTAAAGAGCATATCTTTAGGTATTTATTTATTATTAATATAGTGTATCATCATATTTGAAAGACCCATACAGTTTGTCAGATGGACTTGGTTCCATAAATCGGTATGAATTGCTATTTTGGTTATATAAGAAAGATAACTCTTCCCAATTGTGGAATGTAATTTTAAAGATTAAGCTTGTAAAAGTTATTTCCCTTTACACGTAAAGCGTATTAAATTCCATAGAGTGAAATATTTATTTACATAAATATTTAAACTTAAAATCTAAATTGATTTAGAACACTATTTGTATAATGATATATATTTAACAGAAAACAGTGTTGTTTACTACAGTGGAGAAAATGCATGCAAATAAAGCGTTCAATTAATTTATCTTGGCTTTTTAAAATATTTAGAATACTTCAATTGATCACAAATTGAGTAATACACTGAAAATTTCAATTTAATTGAATTCAGATCTAAGGGTAAATCACTTTAACTGCAGAAAAATACCACAGAATCAGAACTCTTTAGTATGCAGTGTAGAGAGGGTTCTTAAAATTATAATTCAAAATCTCTACTCCATTTATAATCGATTAAAACCCTTTATTACAGGGATAATATTTACCTTACTGAGAGTGATCTCCCTTATCAGAATGTCAATGTACTTTATGTTCTAACTAATAAGCACGTTTTAGCTAATTTTGCATTGTGTGATAGTCGAAGAGGATAAGAGATTCAACTCGGGCTATAGACTTGGTAATGCTGATTGTTTTATCACTATTAACACACCACTTACGCGAGTTAGGTACTTTTTTTTGCAATGTTGCAACCTTTCATGCCCATAAAATCAAAGAAAGCGTTTTGTTGTTTAAATATAGTTATATGATATTACTATTTCTTAATGCCTTCGATACGGAGTTCCGAAAATACAAAAGAAAAGATTGATGACCTGAATATTGTATTCAATAATGGAATTATCAATATCAAAAATTTGTACGTGATCTAAATAAAGCAAAAAGGACGAGGGGAATACTCAGATATAGTTTACGACAATTAAATAAAATAGAAATACTTCCTTGATAAGCAAGTCATAGTCAATATACAAATCCTCTACACAGTTTCTTGATTCTTATTGAAACTTTTTCCGGGCCTTCAATTTATTTTTTAAATTAAAAAAAAATTCACCTTTTCATCTGTCTGTAGTCACTCTGTACACAGTAACTGTACTTCACTAAATAGAGTATCAGCTAATTTATGTATTCTGAATTTCTACATGAACGAGATTCTTATGAATCCATTGTAAGATTTTGAATTTATTTAGAATCGTGTACATCTGCACATATTGTCAATGCAATGGCGTCTGTTGGCTGGGCAGTCCCAGGTATTCAAATCCAGACAGTCCTGGAGAGTGTTACATTCTGAAGCACAGAAAATAGTGTTACATTCTGAAGCACAAAAAATAGTCACTCTTAATGCATTTTCTCTACTAAGATATATGTTGATGTAGGTTCCAGTGGACAAGGTGTGGGTTGGTGTCATATTGTAAATTCTGAATTTACTGGGTGGCAGTAAATGCAAATATATAGCATAGTATAAATTCTGTATTTAATGCTACTCGGTAAATTCAAAATTTACAATATGACTGTGAGGTAAAGTTTTCAATGCTATAAAATTGAGTAATTTATGCTCATAATGACTTTGACCACACCCCATCCTTATTTCCTTCTGAAAATTGGAACTTGAACATTAGGAAGAATTATGCATGTGACTATGCTTTAAATATAGGTGATTGCAATTTGTTACATGTTCACATCTATATTTGGTGATTTTCAAGATTTTATGTCCTATCCAAGTGCTCTATAATTTAGTCGAAGTTTATAAATGAACACATTTTAATTAAAAAATCAAAGAGGATAGTCGCAGCTTACTACTAGAAGTCGTATAAACTAAGAAAGAACATCAGAAACTCGCACCTCTCTCCCTAAAATTTTCAAATTTAAGATAAATCGTGGGTCTTTCTTTGAAAAGAAATGAATTTCGAGTCTATCAACGATCTGTGAGTAATTAAATTTGACAACCCCTGTTACTGTAATCGCTGCGACTCAAGTTTTAATGACTCTGCTTACTTTTATATCAATGTTATTACAAAGCTGATTGTTTAATTTATGTATATTTTAGCTTCATTCACATCCTGTCCCTTGGAACTTAACAAATTCTGTAAATTTTTACAATGTACAGAATAAGCATTTAAAAATTTACAGAGTTAAATCCTTTTTCAGACTAGCACACCATCTACCGTTAAATCAGTTGTTCATTTTGCAATATTGATTCTGTTGATTTTTAATTAGTTATAAAAAAAAAATAGTCTGTTTTATATTTCAGAATGTTTTTGAAAATGAATTGTTCGTTGTGCATTAAAATACAAAACATGTTGTAAATTTTGTATTTACTGCCACCCAGTAAATTCAAAATTTACAACATGACACCTTTCTGCCGCCTATCGCTTATTGACGGGACATAATTATTTGATGTGACCGATTTTCATATTTGCTGATGCTTGCTTACGCATGTTGTTTGACTGAGTGCAGGTACAGACAGCGTCAACACAGTGCATCTCCCAGCCGTCTGAGCATGATGTATGAACGCAGTCTGTAGCGGAGTTGGTGCAAGATTCGGACCAGGCATATCCTAAAAATGGAATTCCAATATAGTCAAAATTCACTTAGTTTACTGGGTTACTTTTAATATTAGAAATCCGCTAAACGTATCAAGAAGCCAGTGAACAACTTGTTAATACATGTAATTCTAAACACTACAGTAAATATACTTCATACATTTTTTCTCAGGTCCTGAAGTATAAATCAACTACATCTAAAATACAAAAACGATTTTATTTTGGCTTCAAAATATTATTAAAATAATCTCTCTTGGGGGTTATATATAATATTTAATATTCTTTTTTTTAAAATGGCAGTTGAGAGAGAGAGAGAGAGAGAGAGACGTAAATAAATCAATGCCCGAAAAAAAAGCAATACAGTATTTCCATTACTTACCAATAAGGCAAAGGAGAACTACGGCAAAGCACTTCATTTTCTTTGTGTCCTCGCTGATAATTGAGAAGTAATGACCGGAATCGTCTTCAGAAATATTTATATTCGATTAGGACTGTTTGTTATCTAGTCTTTGACATGATTTAGAGTGAGGTGTCCTAAAGACAGTATACTACTTACATTGTTCCATTTCTATCGCAGTCATAAGTGTTGTATATTTGGTCAATCAATTTAACTACATTTCATTGTAAAAGTATAGACTTCAGAATGGTGGTTTAAGCTGTCAGGATCATAGACTTGAGTGAGCTTATATGCTTGAAGTCTTAACAGCTTTTAATAGTTTTTTTTCCCCCAATTTATTAGCCTCCAGAACTTTATTGTAATAACTAGAAAACAAAACAAACCAAACTTTTAAAGAGGAAATATTAAGAGGAAAAATGGCTGATCACGATAAGGTTAATTTTATAACGAGGAACTGAAAACTTAACTTATTTAAAAATCTTTTTAAGATGCCCAAAGACACTACAGCATGCTGCGATAGCTCCTTTATTGTAGACACATTTTTTATGGTTCAGAAACCGTGACGTCACGATACTAACTCTTGGATTCACGTTTTTGGAACAGAATACAAAGAGAGGTATTCTAAATCATTTTATACAAGTGTAGGGCCATTTCATTAAATTGATATTGAGAGATGAATGATTCCATACATTAAAAGCTTTCAAGAGTTTTTGTTTTAATTTTGACGAACAACCAAAAGAATGTTTTAAACTTCAGCATACTTTCAACTAATGTCAAATGGGCGAGTTTGCAAATATCTAGTCAATCAAGATAAAAAAGTTTTTGATATAAAATTATTAGTTTTATTTTTTTTTTAACATACTTGTTTTCCATGCTTTGAATTATTGGCAACGAAATGACAAAGGTTTTAGGTAAGCCTCAAGTACTCTAAAGGGAAAAAAGAGTAATGGAAATATTTACTATGTTCTAGCATAGACCTAAAGCAAAGGTCTATGGTTCTAGTAACCATATAAGAACAAATATTGATAAAACATGCGTTGATATACATGAGTACTTTGTTTTAAAAGAATTTTCCAGGTGTGCACTTTTGCGCCCAATCTGTTGGCGAACAGCATGGACTTGTAAAGTATATATTGGTAGTTCTCTCTAATCAAAGTAAAGATGCCATTTTGAAACATATTACTTGGCAAAACGGAATATTGTAACTCGTGACTCTTTAATTTTCCTCGTGATTTGTTATGTAAAATAAGCATGATTTATCTAACATTTACCTTGACGAAAATAAGGAGTTATATATCTATAATCCAAACTGACACCAGCGCAATTCACATCACAGTTCACCATACAACATGAAAACCGTGTTAGTGTGTGTCATCGCTCTTTTTGCGGTGTTTCTTGGTATGTATTTTTTTCATTTTACATTAACTGATTTATTAATTTTGTGATCTTCTTTATCTTTTCAGTTTGTTGAACCTCAGAAACATGATCAAAAAGCACTGAATAATGAAATGAGCAATAAAACGAAAATCTATCATGATCAAAAATGAATTTGAAATATTGAAATACTTTTTTTATGAAAAGAAATAAACCCGTATTTACACTTTGCTTCCTCAGAATTGTTATATTTATGTAGATACTAAATGCTGGGGGGGGGGGGGGGGTTATGAACCCTTGAACAAATTCTTTACCTCGCTTGTAATAACAAAAATTGCAGAATTTCAAACCTCAAATGTCAAGAGAAAAAGTAGAATTGAATGGGATAAAATGTTTTTTTTTTTTCTTTGGTGACGCCGAAAGCCATTTGTGGAAGACAAAGCAATGCGTGAGCATACGTACAACACCGTTAAAGAAGTACATTTCTTGCGAGAATACAATTTAAAAAACAGGTTAAACGTGACACAAAAGCGCCCAACAAGTTTCACATATTCGTCGACACGGTGCCACGTGGAAACATTCGAAGTTATTTTGAATATTTATTCATGGCGTCTTTGTTTACTGCAACCTCTTAAACGCAAATGAATCTCACCAAGCGAAATTCGTGATAATTTTCTTGAAAATTAATTTTTAACCAACCTGAACGATATTTCCTTACATCACACGACTAAAAATGTGTTTGTTTGTTTGCTTTATGTCCCTTCAAGAATTTTTCACTCAAATTGGGACGCCACCCATTGTCGGTGGAAGGCTGCAAATTAGACCTGTACTGTAAAGTGAGGAATCTTTTTCGTACCAACACTAAGTGCAACACGGGGATTACATGCTCTCATTCGAAGAGCAGTGGGATTTCGAACCTCAACGTAAAAATTAATTCCTTTCTTCCCGACCCAAACGAAACACGCTAACAACTGCACCCTGTGGATCACCTCCAAGAATATATAACATTAACTTTTAAAGAGTATTTCATCTGCTGAACAAGTCCTGGTTGAATATATATAAGTTTATTGTTGTTTACCGCATACATATCTCTGATCTGGAAAATGTTATTAAGTTACTCTCCAGTAAACGTGAGCTTTATATTATTTATATAACTTTTGTAAATAAAGATGCAAAGCGAAACTGCAATGATTTTGATATGCTTTTGTGTCTTTCTGTAGGTGTTGTGTTTTCTGAGCCTTTTACCACCCATCCTCACAAGACAGGGGTCCTGAGTCAACTCGTTGCCGTTGGACCCCTGACAAATTTTATTCGATACTCTACGGGCTTGCTTCTCTTATTGAGAAACACCGGTACATGTACTAATAAGATCGGGGCTTTCATCATTTGATATAAAAACGGAAATAGAACGTAAGCAGCACAGGCACTTGGGGTATGGACCCCCCCCCCTTTCCATTTTTTTTTCTTTTTAAATCTGGGGTCGAGTCACCTTTTTCCTATTTTTGTATTCTAATATGCACTGTATGTTATCAATAATGTAACTCTTTTGTCTCTATATGCTGTTTTTAAATATATCGTTTTCGACTGATACATAAAAGAGAGAAGGCTTGCAAAGTTCTCTTTTCTCATCGTCTGCCTCACCTCGCTTAAACTTCGCCTGATTATTTATCGAAAGAATAAGAAAACATGGAATATGCATACATCAATAAATTCGTTATACATTCTTCTTCCTTTTCATATTTCCATTCAATTTTTATGTGCCCCCGATTTGTAAATATTTCGATTAAATCAACCGCATCTAGGGTCAATTTTGTTGATGTGCACCAGCTGGGACGGAAGTGCCCGGTATTTTCGGGTATCATCATTACGTGTAATGTCATTCGGAATATTAAATGCGAGAAGGAATAAATCCCGAATTTTCTCTTCATATAACATGTAACGGTAAGTTCTGTGAATAACAAGATAACTTTAACTAGCAAATTCTAATGGATGAATATTAACTTTTAACAGACGATCTAGACAACCAAATTTCACAATATTGTTATTGCAAAGCCTGGAATTTTTTTTTTAATGCAGAACATTTATAAAGTTAGAGTTACCGTTATTGCACTTCCGTCCCAGCTGGTGCACATCAACAAAATTGACCCTAGATGCGGGTGATTTAATCGAAATATTTACAAATCGGGGGTACATAAAAATTGAATGGAAATATGAAAAGGAAGAAGAATGTATAACGAATTTATTGATGTATGCATATTCCAAGTTTTCTCATTCTTTCGATAAATAATCAGGCGAAGTTTAAGCGAGGTGAGGCAGACGATGAGAAAAGAGTTGCAAGCCTTCTCTCTTTTTATGTATCAGTCGAAAACGATATATTTAAAAACAGCATATAGAGACAAAAGAGTTACATTATTGATAACATACAGTGCATATTAGAATACAAAAATAAGAAAAAGGTGACTCGACCCCAGATTTAAAAAGAAAAAAAATAGAAAAGGGGGGGGGGTTCCATACCCCAAGTGCCTGTACATAAAATGTTTTTCCAACTTCTAATGCGTTTTCACCGTTGCGTTAGCTAAATTTGCGTTTTTTCCCCGGCCAATTCACAAAAATTTTGTATCTGCACTGAAGAATTGGAAAGTTCTGCTATCCTGTAAATTTCTAATAAACTTGATATAACACTGAAAAATCCACGTCTTTACATCTTGAGAAACCTCTAAACACTGACCATCACGTGACCTCTAAGCAATCTCATTGGTTCCTCAGTACAGTTGATTTGGTAAAATGTTTGTTATCGGCCGCAGCAGCGGCCGATCTATTAAAGTGCACATGGGGAAATGAGACGTTATTTTTTTTATTAGTTCAGTTAAATAATTCTTAAATGATAACATGTATAAAATCATGAGTAAAATATGTTAAAAAACTTGCTTTAAACTAAGTCTTAATTGTTGTTATTATGTTTCAATTGCATTATCATTTCTCATCAGATAATTGATAATTTATGATTATATAAAAAGAGTTTACAATAGGTACTCCCCAACCTGGGAGTGTGTAAGATATGAAAGCAAATCGTTATGATTTTCCGGATAATAATGAAGTGGTAAAAGTGCATGGTGAATAAAAATTGAAAGGATATTTAACTAGTAAAAATTGCTTTGAATATGCTACAGCTGCGAACGACACAAGGATAATTTTTTCTACATTTTTCACCTAGGGTAAGTCAAGGTAGAATTTTGCAGAATCATGGGCATTATCACGTGACAAAGATCCGGGGTATCAGCAAGTGGTTCATCTTGAGATCTGAATATAAATAGGCCTACATCTTTATTTTGATGGCAATAAATTCTTATCATTTATCATTGACTTTATTACATCGATGAATCAATTTGATGAGCAAATGCTCTAAAATTTCTATTTATTTTATTTTTTATTTATTTTTCTTTGAAGACAGTCTGAAATAAAAATGATAACTCTTTTTCATCTTTGAATGTCTTTTGCTTTCCTTGCATTGATGATTTTTAAAATTGTGAAAGTACTTTTTGAAAAAGCTAACTTTTGTTTTCGGCCGATTTGATGCTTTGCTTCAAATTTTTCTTGTTTCTGTGTAGGTCTTGTGTTTTCCGAGTCGTGTATCACCAGCCGTGACTGTGTCTCCATACAATGTGACAGCGTCACTACTGTCGAGTGTACCAACGGGACGTGTACATGTGAACTCGTGGATGGATGTAAGAAAATGCATATATTCTTCTCTCTTATCACTCCGCCTTGTTAGGTCCGTGTCAAAAAAACTGTGACACACCTTTAGCATATTTTGCTCACTTCTTTTAAATATTTCTTTCTTTCTAATGCCGTAAGTATTCTAAAATGATGTATTCGGATTTTAAGCTACATTAATAACCTTGCGAGCTTCTTGTAGTCATTGTCTTAATTTGTACAACAGAGCAGACATAGTTAGATCTGATTTGGTTTTTCAAATTTATACTTTATCATTTTAAGTCATGTAATATTGATGTTTTTACAGATTGTGACACGAGAGATGATTGCTTGAATATGGAAAATTGGTTCTGTCCAGCGGAGTACAGACACTGTATTGATCAGAGATGTCGCTGTCGTCCAATCTAAAGACAATCAATAAATGTTTTATAAAGAAATACAAAATACTTGTTATAAGGCAGACAAAATGCGTATACAAAATGAATAATGAGTTTAGGGGCACCGGTCTAATAAGGGTCAGAAAACCCTGAAACTTCCGTCTGGCAGGTGCTTTTTTTTTTTTAATTTTCATCTGAAAGGGTTATTTGCACAAGTCTTTAAAGAAAGTTGCTTAAAATGCAATTTAAGATTAAATCTTCCATTGCTCCTTCCAACACTGAGGAAAATTGACACCACATATCAACCCAAAATAAGTCCAAGTTGGACACGGGAGGACTTTCATAGGTCTTCAGTCTGTTATCCGATCCCATTCTGACGAATGAAATAGTTATTAAAAAATATTTAAAACATTGAAACTCAGGATCTCACTCAGGTGTCTCAAATCCGGTAAATATGTAAACTATATCAAACTATGTTCTGTCGACTTCTGATTCCCAATATCCTGTTTTGCAGCTGTTATCATAAATTAAAGTACTGATGAGAAGAATTGATTTTAAAAGAAAAAAAAATATTAACAACAGAATCCTTATCAATTTAACATGTTAACTTCCTGCTTTAACTGAACAGGAAAATTCTTTGCTAACAAATTTTTGAACCGAAGTTGAAATCAATGATTTTGATTGCAATTTATAAGACGTTAGAAAACATTATATTAGATTATTTTAAAAAAGCCCGACTCATTAGACTAAACGTTGGATCATGCAGCGGCTTTTTAAAACAGGAGTGTTCGCTGACATCCCTATAGAAGTAATTTTCATTTTTGACACAGACTCACTACAGGAACTGTTCTGTGTTTTACTTTGAAGCATCCTAGTATATCTGACGACTTCCATACAACTGCAGGATGTTACGTCCAGACAACAGGACACATTGTATATAAAAAACATAATAATTTAAACATGTACCTATATTTAAGACTTACATAAACATGTACCCGTATTTAAGGACTCTGCATTCTGTGTTTAAGCTAACGTATCCCAGTATTGAAGCAATTTCCATGACAGCTGCAGGATGCTACACCCAGGTAACAGTATATAGACGATAATGCATTAACACTTACTTGTTCACACGAAAATCGACAAATAAAACGTTCTTCAAGAGGACCACCTTGATTCTTTCTGTTGTTGTTTTTGCTGGTCTTATATATTTTATATATCATGAAATATGCTACAATATAAAAATTAAAAATTACTTCATTGCTTTAATTAGTGTACGTACATGTATCTTTCTTAAAAGCATCAAAATTAATTGAGATATCAACAGAACTTAAAGATGCTTTCAAAGATTCAACGCTGGCTTGTTGCTGAAATGTCTAATGCATGCTTCATAGGTTTGAGGGCAGGTGTATATGGGTGAATTAAAAAAATGACTGGACACATATTTTTATTTACCTGCACTAAAATACAGAAAATGTGATTAAATTTCTATGACTCAGCATATGTCTTTTGATATTGTCTAAATACCACTCAAATATCTCATTGATATCTCAAGTCACAAAAAAGTTATGCTCAAAAGTGATGCTAAAATGTCAGGAGTGGAACATCTGTTTGTGACATTTTGAAAAAAATTATTTTTTTAAAATATTATAAGATCTGTGAAATAAAAAATAATGGTTTATGTTGGAAAAAAAGACTTTCCTGATAAAATTCAATGTATTGAGCTTTAAATTTAGACTGTAGTAACTTTTGTTTGATCAAGTTATGATCATGCTTTACCATGTCAGAAGTGCAACAGAAAAAAATGTAGTGTTGCCGAAAAAAACACTGATTTAAAAATGCTTTATGACAATTAAGTAAAAAAAAAAAAATTTCAAACTGTAAAACAATAACTGATATACAATTTAAAATAAAATGTTATATAAAATCACAAGCAGCATTAATGAGAGTCGAGTATCTGTGCATACCCAATTATGTCAGGAGTGCAACATTTGATGTTTTGCTCCCCAACATGAAAAACCCTTTATCAGTATGATTCTTGAGTTTATTTTGGAAAATAAAGACACAAAGAACATTTTTACTAAATAGATCTATCAATAACAGGATCTGTCTGTGTTTCAGATCTATATTTCTATGTTCAAGCTCAACACGTCTTTTTAAGATCCAAGTTCAATGATGAAAAGATATCTGTTCATACTAATAAATATTCTTTAATAATTATGACATATTTTAATAATCAAGTACTAAATTTGTAGCGGAGCAGCAATCAAGACAAGATGGTTTTGAAATCAGTATGATGTTTATTACATGGATTATATACTTAAGTACCAGATTCTGCAAAACAATATAAAATACATTAACTAAATTTGATATTACACATAACAGCAGAATCTATTGTTATCATAAAATCAAATAATTACTACATATTAATTAGATCATAAGATAATATTGACACAGGTCAATGAGTTATATCTCTTGACAAATGATATTTCTCTTTATATATTCACTTCATATAATGGATAAATATTTACAATATACATGTACATATAGCTACATACCAAACTATGGGTATGAATCCATCTCTATTTCTAATACAGTGTATATATATGTCTTGCTATGGATTTAATATCTACAATTCATAAATAACATTTATACACTATATATTCTTTTGTGTCATAAAATACATTTCATTAATACAAAGTTTAAAATCAACTAGTTCATCAGCTTTGACAAACTTAAATAATTTAATAAATTCTCTCATATGCCACTTTTCATTCTTACAATTATTAATATGAAAGTATTAATGTGAAATAAGAATGTCAAAAAGTCAACCTACTGTCAGTGGTCTATAAAATACTCCAAATATCAAAAATACAACTTTACACACTGACTGCTCCTAGGCTAGTAATTATCTGGACACTCTGGACAAAGGGGGTTAAAGGTTTTGGTGGGAAAATATTAACCAATGGCAATTCTTACTTATTTATTTATTCAAGGTTAAGAGTTTAAACTGTAATTTTAGAACTCTAGAGATTTCTAGACTTTAATTAGAGGTAGTTGTTATAAATTTATTTAACTGTTTGATATTTAAATAAAACATTTTTATTTTAAATCAAGTTTATTATTGAAAGTTATTTCATAACTTTCAATGGCATCTGAAAGAAAATTGTTGTTATAATTAAAATCAATTTAAAATCATGACTATTACACACTAAATTATCGCAGTTTTATTATTAAAATCCTTCTCTTTTTCAATTTTATCGAAGAAAATACATTAATAGGGAACAATTCAAGACTATGGTGGCATATTTCTGCCCCATGTGTGCAAGTTATTTTTCTGTCAAATATGTCGACATGCAAGATAAATATGTTGACATGCAAGATAGTTATGTCAACATGCAACATAACTATGTTGACATGCAAGAAAATTGTAATCAAATAAAAATTATAAAAAATCTTCAAAAATCTCAAATATTGCCTACATGTGACTTCCAATATGCTAGATGCTACTTATTTATGTCGACATGCAAGTTATTTATGTTGACATGCGAAATAAATATGTTGGCATGCAAGTTATTTATGTCAACGTGCAACTTAGATATGTTAACATGCTACTTATATGTCAACATGCAACTTATTTATGTCAACATGCAACTTAGTTATGTCAACATGCAATTTGTTTTTGTCAACATGCAACTAAGTTATGTTGACATGCGAGATAAATATGTTGACATGCAACTTAGCTATGTTGAGTAACAGATATATATATATATAATTTTTAAAAAAGTAAATATCCAAAATGAAATTACACTTCGATGTGAATGTCTTAAGACACAGGAATGGCGAAAAAGTTTACAGTGAATATGATCGATTTGTGATTTTATTTTGGATATATACTTTTTTTTTAATATGATCGATTTTCAAAATAAGATTTTGAATTAAATGATCAAATTTAAATGCAAAAGAAATTATGTGATACACAATTTGAACATTTGTGCGAGCTTGCAGACTCGTTACTACCCAAGACACGTGCAATGAGGCACGGTTCTGTTTGTTTGTTTGTTTGTTTTTTGTCGGTAAAATTGAAATTGATTTAAATGATCGAAAATTTATTCAAGCAAATGTTGCAGTTTAAATGATTTTCTATAATATGAGGTGGACAACAAAGTATAAATTGAATTTCCTTAGTTAAATGTCCTGGCGATTTAGAAACGGGACCGTAGATTATAAAACGTTTTTAGGGCACCTCTCTGCGAGCGACCTATAGTAATAAGTGTGTCCGTCCGTCCGTCCATCTGTTCGTCTGAGGTCTCTTTTAAAGGGTGTGCAGTGACCTTGAACTATGTTTTAAGGTCTAAGGTTAAGGTCATAGCAGAACTGTATCTGAAAAATGCATGTTAACATAAATAAGTTGCATGTCGACATACATATGTTGCATGTCAACATATTTAACTCGCATGTCAACATAACCAAGATGCATTTCGACATAAATAAGTTGCATGTCGACATAAATAAGTTGCATATCAACATAATTATCTCGCATGTTAACATAACTAAATAAAAATAAAATGCATGTTGACATAAATAAGTAGCATCTAGCATGTTGGATGTCACATGTGGGCAATATTTGAGATTTTTGAAGATTTTTTATTATTTTTATTTGATTACAATTTTCTTGCATGTCAACATAGTTATGTTGCATGTTGACATAACTATCTTGCATGTCAACATATTTATCTTGCATGTAGACATATTTGATAGAAAAATAACTTGCACATAAGGGGCAGAAATATGCCACCATACAAGACATAAAGCCAAGTTTAAAAATTTTATGTATTTTAATCATGAGGTATTGGACTATAAATATTGCACAATGTCATTATAACTTGATGTTGCCAACATGTATGGATTTTTGTGTACTTTTGTTTTAATTTTAAATTTTAATGCAGTCAGGAGTGTAACAAAACCGTTTTATAATTATCAGTGAAATTCATATATCTTCACTAAACAATATGTTGCAGAAAATGTTTGATCCTATTTGTAGTTGAAATCAGTATGTCTATCAACAAATTACAGATATCTCTTTTGGATATTTTAAAGTCAATTCACAAAACAGTTTTCATCACTAATAATATATTATTGCAGATTCCCTATTAATCAAACAAACAACATAGATATTATTTTGCTTGTTTCATTTGGCGCTTCTGGCCGCGGTGATCAATTTGCTGGGGCTACCACAGGGCTGCCCCACAATCAACAATCAATACAACAAATGTGACGACCCAAATCGGGCGGATCATGCACTGGGTAGGTCACAAGTGCATGAACGTCACCAATTCAATTATCAATCCAGTTCAATCAATCATCAATCAATCAATCAATCATTTCAATATCAATCAAGTCAACTGCTTGTCAATTACAAGCCAACGCACAAATTCAAATCCTGAATTTCAATTTACACGTGCAACGGGATAAACAATGGAATGAGCGTAAGAATATTTCTTGCACTCCTCCAGTTCCGTTGAGGTGCGACGGAATACACAAACACACAGAATTACCACCGCGATATTGGCTAAGTGGACGCTGTACCCAACAGGCAGTCATCACGGAATACGTAAACGGTAAACACACAGAATTCACCACCTTGACAAAGGTTGATGTGTACGCTGGACCAATCAGGCTGTTTCATATTTGCATATTTTACTAAAAAAAAAAAACGTTAGTAGTAACAACAAAACTTTATGATAAACGTGATGACGTCAACTTTTCTATCGTCAACTTCCCTTATTTATGTCCAATATACCATTATCACCTGCATATGGAGTTTATGTCTTCCAGTTGATTCGATACGCAAGAGCATGCTCTATGTCACAGGTACTTGTGGACAGGACCCCCGGGGGGGGGGGTTACAAGTCTTGTAAGTTGTAAATAAAGAGATTTTTTACCGGGTGGTAAATTCCAGGTGAGGGAGGGGCTTATTTTGTACAGGTGTGAATGCCCTGAGGGCTAGCAGTCTACCTGTGGTCGTTTGTCTCCTAATCCCTATACACAGAAAGTGATTTAATACACAGTAGAGTACCCAAGAAGTCAATCTTTACCTGTGTTGGGTTTTTGAGGTGATTTTGAATTAGAAATCAAAAGTTGTAAATAAATTTTAATCTCAATAATTTTTATTAATTTGTAATTGAATGTGTGTCAAAGCATCCCCACCCATTAAAAAATATTATTCAAAGTATTTGTTTAGCCTTGACAAAAAATTATTAAATACCAAATTTTGATATATATTATCATAAAGAATATCATAATTATTTTAAATACTAAAGGTGTTGTATATATATCATCAAGCTAAAAATTCCATAGTTATCATGGTAATACATCTTCTCTTTTGTTTATACCAGGTGTGGTAAATATCAAAGGATCAGAAGTTAATTTGGGGTCACCACGAGTGCCAGGCAAGGTGTACAGGGTATACACAGCGACTGGTAAGTAAATGTCAATCAAGTTCTAGCACCCAGTGATGAAGCTTAATGCACTTGATTGACAGGGGTACACAGACCAGGTATTTTTGAAGGCGGTGCTTAAAATCTCTGCCTTTAAGCGATTTTTAAACCGCTACTTCGTATCAGTGATAACATCCTTTAAAGGGAATATTGACGACTACCTTCGCTCATCTCGAAAATCTTAAGCAGAATTTAATTCTAATGAATCAATTTCGACTTCTTTATCAAAATTTTCTCGAACTTTTTCGTAGACCTCCGACTTTTCCCTTAGTTCTATAACACTCGGAACTTGAGAGTTACACGCTAGGTGTCGTTTTTGCATCACTTCCGTAATTTCTACTTTGACATTTCCAAATCTTGTAGCATTTTTCACGTTTGACGATGAATACTCGGATTATTATGGAATGCTTGGGCAATTAAATAGCACGATTAAATACAAAATTATCTACCGAAACAAGATATCATGACACATTTTGGTGACATGTATTAGGTAGATGATATTTCGGACCTGATATCCAAGAGGGGTCAAGTGTACAAACAAATGGAAGTGACTTACCTTCTCTATTTTAATATGTTGACGGTGCGACCGTTGGGGCGAGCGCAGTGTTCACTTCATTATTATGATCCGCCTCTTCAAACCGCACGAGACATTTGGAACGTCTAGACTGTGACGTCACATGACGTCGTATGTTAGCTGCATTTCCATAAACAAAGTTTAAAAAGTGCAAATATTTTAACAAAGAACGTTTAACCCTTTCGCTGCCAACGCAAATGTTTGAATTGCCAAAAAAGTAACGTCATACGTACATGACGTTACAATTGTTATGACGTTATTAAAAATATTGCGGGTTTACGTTGTATCCATGACGTAAATCGCACCTGCGTTATGTATAATTCTTAACAAATGAGGGCGTACAAGGCAAGGAAAAATCCCTTGTTTTAGAACATGATCTGATACAAAGTAATTTTATTTTTTTTAAGAAAAGATGTATTTTCCAAACAATTGTGGTTTCTGTAACGCCAATACGTACGCGAATGCACGCTCTATTCATCGTTTCTTTTTTTTTTAAATATAAAATTACTTAATGATTGATAATTTGGTAAAGTTACTGTT